TATGAAATTTATTGATAGAGAAATTCATGTAAAGATTCATGAATTTCATGCTTTTCATTTAAAAAAAAACAAAAGCCATAGCCCCCCCCCGGCTCAACCCCAGGAAATTATTAATCACATTTTATTATAAAAAAACAACGTAAGTGGCTTTTTCCGCTTTTTTGGGGATGTTCGGAAAGTGTCGTAAACAAAAATTGAAGAGAATTTACAAATACTCGAATTGGTTTCTTTTTATCAAGAACCAAGAACTTTACGAAAAAAGCATCAGGATAATTTTTTAGCTGCTAAGAAAATTTTTGTAAATTGCATATTTGGACAGATATTTGTGAAAAACTGGCCATTGTGGCCTAATGGCCATTTCTTGTCCCAAAATGGCAAAAAAAATTTGGGGCCATTTTTTCGGCCAAAGCTGACCGAGTACAGTGTTACAATTTTTCGATAAAACCACTATCAAATCCCGAAACATATGTTGTTCCCCTTATTTAAATAGTGACAATACTGTGAGTTTGAGTCTCCTGTCCCTCAGTAGAGTATTTTAACTAATTATTATGTACTCACATTGGGTCGCTGAATGTTTAATAAGTGATTTTTGCTACTACATATTATAATTGTTGATCTAAAAACTTTGATGAAAAAAAAAATAAACAAAGTAAAGGTTTCTTTCTTATTTTATTAGCTCTTTTTTATTAAATTGTATGGTTGGGTGGAAACTTAATTTTACAGGTTATTTAGGAAATATATTTTCGTAAAGTAATTATATATTCAAGTTAATCATTAAAAAACTATTTGATAGCTATCGGCGTACAAAATTGATACGCTCTTTTAATTTTTAACTTTTTATTCGATTTAGTATTTTATACACCTGCTCTTTTAATATTTCCATCCTTTAAGCAGTAAATAAGCTATTCCGGACCTTTGGCGCAATAAAACAAAAAAAAATTACCTTCAACATACTATGTATGATAATATAAAAAGGAAACTACCCAAAATGATGGCAAAAAGGAATAAAATGGCACCTTAAATATCTCATAAAATGTCGATGTTTCCACTTTTAAATCAACATTTTTATTTCTCGCTTTTACGACATAACATAAATAAAGATAAACAGGGGGGCGGTATTTTTGCCATAATAAAACATTTTAAAATTGAGGAAAATGTTTTATGACTAGGTAGATCAGGTTATGGGCTTTTTCTTTACTTACTGTTTTATTTTGTGATCGTGACGTTATGGGATATAAAAATTGTTTTAGGGTATTTACTGAACACTGTTCTTTGTAAGTTAATAATAAGCTAATAAATACACTTCCATGTGTAACATTAAAATCTATGTTAAGAGTTGGATTATTTTTATTAAAGTGGTTCATGATCAAAAATTACCTTACAAAATTTTAAAATATTTTGCAATAATTAATAGTCCTAGTTTTAGAAGTCCTAAAATTGACGTTATATTTTTTGCTGTTGTTAAAGTTACACATTTTCCAATATAATTCCTATTATCACCCTTTCCGTAGCATTAAATAAATTTTGTGCTTCTTAAACATTTTAAAACAGCAAAAAATATGACGTTAATTAAAATTCTATCAATAAAAATCTATTCATAATCTATCAAGGAATGAAAACGGAATTATATTACCATAGAAACGCGTTTAGATTTTTAGGACTTGAAAAAAAATTGAACTATAATATGTATATTTTCAGGTTTTTTAGCCGACCATACCAATAGGTATGGTAGGCTATTAAGATCGGCAAAAAAAAGTTTTTTTAATTTCACTCAAAATGAGTTATTTGGGTCATAAATGACCTAAATACAAAATATTTTCATGGTGTCTGTCTGTCTGTCTGTCCGTCTGTAACACGATAACTCAAAAACCGCTGAACCGATTTTAACTAAATTTGGCACAAAAATACTGTGGCACCCGAGAATCTGGCCATTAGTTTTTGGTGGAGGTAGGGGGTTGGTAATGGGGTATGGGAGGGGGTTAAAAATTTAAAAAAATCGTAACTCCAAAATTACAGTAGCTAGCGAAACGCGGTTTTCAAATTAAGATTAGGAATAATATTTGCAACAAAATTTGTAATAACATCAAAATCAGTCAAAGTCGCAATTTTCGAGATATTAACATATTTTAGTATGGGCGGCTATACGTGCCTCCCGGCGCCAATTTTTTAATTCTGTCTAAAACGGTATGGAAACTTGGAAAAGTATAAAAGGAATTAATAATTTTAGAAGCAAAATTTTTTATGAAGTATGCATTTTTCTCAAAATGTCAATAATAAAAAAGTTTTTCCTCTTGTTAAAACAATCCGTGGACATACTGTATAATTGAAGACCGATTTAACTATATTATCGAGAAGTTTGACACTCCCATGTATGAGATATAGGGATAAGATTAGATCCTGTAGGATAATGCTTGAACGACCAAACTTTTAAACAAATCCAAAACAAAACTTTAAGGTAGATAAATCATCTTTCTGCCCAGGAGTATAGATATACACAGCCCCATACTATGCGCTGATTCGTCCATTCGATGCGTCCATGCACGTATAGTGACCATCATGTGCTTCGTCGATGTGATTCGTTACTTCGTGTGCAAATTCGCCCATTGTCTATACAACCCTTCACAAGTCCTTCCTCCATCAACCAATTCATGTTTTATCTGCTAAAGATAAAAAAATAAGATAATAGCTCAGACCGAAGATACTCAAGATGATTACACGGTATGAAGCATGAGCCTCCAGATTACTTACCTTATAAAAATCCCCTATAAATATCTTCTCCTCCATCAAAAAAACAATGCCCTCTTTGGATAAATATCATGTTACTCGTGGTTTTGTCAGATCAGAGTTCAACAGGCTTATATCGGAATATTCCCTATATGAAATAATCTGTACAGATGCTTTAGTCAAAACATTGTTCATGGTACCTACAAAAGAGAATATAAACTTCATAATTTCAGTAACATTCTTCATGCATAACTACTGGCTATAAGAGAAGGTCTAATATATTACTTTTTTTAGACCTCGCTGCGCTTGGCTTTTTGCTCAAACTATCTGTCAGCCCCTTCATGTATAGAGAAACTGTATCCAACTGTGTGCTCTAGAGTCCATAAATAAAGATGTAGCGAGTAGTTAGATGGTGCGAATAGTTTCGATTGGCTCTTCTATTTCTTTTTTCTAGGTTCTTAGTCATGCCATCATGCCGGTATTGCTCCAAATGAACTAGCGAACCTAAGCGTGCCTGAAGCACACCTTAATGACATTCCTAGAAATTAGATATATTTATATTATAAAATTGTTATATCGCAGTAAATTTTTTTAGATACAAAAATATATCTCTTATATAATCTAATTAATTCGTATAATCATAAGGTTTTTTTGCATATGTCTACCTACTACAATATTACACACAACAATTCTTAATATTATGACACTTTCATAAAAATATTTTATCCTATCAATAAATTATGGTGTTCCCTTCGCGGCTTGTCATTTATAAAAAATGCACATCCAGAGGGTAGTTTTGCCATAATCCCATCCAAATACTGTAATAAATTCCTTGAGCAAATTTTCTTCACATCGAATGTTAACTTTATGGAGCCATATAATGTCTCTTTCTTTTTGCTTTTGAAGATAAACGGGGAGCAACGTCGCTCCGACATTTTAATAGACTATTTTTATTACCGAGGGTGGAAAAATCAATGTCTATTTCGTATTCTTTTGTTGTTCGCCTCGTTACTTTAGTTGGATTCATTTTTTTTTATGAGTTGTTATTTTAATGAGTCACTTTTAAGTAATATCAATATTTTTATTATATTTGAGAACTTGGTCTTGCTTTTTGTGTTGGTGTTGCCCAAAAATCGTACTTTAGTAAATAATCTTAATTTATAATATCCCATTTGTAAATTAACAAATTTACTTTGGTTAATTTATTAGTATCTTCTGAAATTTGTTTAAGGAATGTAAATCGGATTATTAAAAATTAAGAGTCCATTTCATTAGCCCGAAAAAGTAGCAAAATAAGCGTTCGGTATTTAACATTTTGGCTAGGTATTTTTTACACAAATGAAAAAGGAAATTAAAGATAAAGGATTATACCACAAAATATCTAGCTACGCATAGCTAGATATTCTGTGATTATACTGTATCCGTATTGTAGCACATTTTTAGACAACTTCTTTATTTTTAATGTTTTTTGATGGTCAAACATCAACAAAATATTCCTTATGTTTGGACCGAGGTTTGGACTAATTTTTATTGAAAATAAAGACATAATTTAAAATTCCGTTACAATACGGAAATAGATTGAAGTTTTGTGATTACAGTGATATATAATTTACATGGTTTTGTAACAAATTGCTCGCTATTTTATGGCAAATGCTGAAGCTCTGAAAACCTTAATCAAGCCTTAATCAAAGCACGTGTGTATGGAATTTTGGGTGTGGCTTAACACGACAGGATCTGGCTAAGCCTTAGACAGATTTCTGAAATATAATATATATTTCCATCAGCCACACACCCGCTTTACCCGACCCCTGAGAGCGACCCGAACAATACAGCGTAATAGACTCTTAATTAACAGTAATAATATAATAATTATTTCATTGAATCATTTTGACTAAACGTATGAAATTCAAATTTAATATACTGTATTGTTCAAATATTAGTCTTCCCACATAGACAAATGTTTTTACCTTACAATATAAATTGTGATATTGAAGATTCCAATTATAAAAGATCTAGGTAGCCTTGCTAGGTAGGTACTTCTTTGCAATACCTGAAGGTTGTAAAATTCACCCCTCGCTGTATTTATCTTTTCAATTCTGAAGAGACCTGTTCCCAACCTTTTTCCCTTCGACCAGATGCTGGTTTTGAAAACCCTAGTCATTCTCTGTAAAGACAGACAGATGGCCCTTTCTTTAGAAAAGTAATTTTTAACATAACCTTTTTTAATACGTTCTAAGTTGAATATAGATTTTTAAATATATTCTTATTTGTTGCAGACCAGTTTCGGCATACGCCCTATTCTTTCGGGATACCCAGGCAGCTATTAAGGGTCAAAATCCTAACGCCAGTTTCGGAGAAGTGTCGAAGATCGTGGCTTCCATGTGGGATGCGCTAGATTCCGAGCACAAGAACGTCTACAAGAAGAAAACTGAGGCCGCTAAAAAGGAGTATCTGAAAGCTTTGGCAGCTTACCGAGCAAGTTTGGTGTCTAAGGGTGCAGGAGAACCTGAAGGAGGTCCCATGTACGGAAACTACGGAAATTACAATCCCGGGCCACCCGGCGGATCGCCCTATGGAGGATATCAACCTCAGGTATGTTAATATAACCTAAAATTATAAAAATATTGATAGACTCAGTTAGAGTGTTAATACTAATAGAGAAAGAATACAATTTTAGAGAAAAACTACTATACTCATATATTCTCGTTATAGTTATAATTTGTCCATAGAAAGAATATGTAATCTGTTTGCTGCAAATTAGTCAAAGTTGGCGACATAATAATAGTTAAACTTAAAAATGATTTAAATAGTTACCCTTACCTATAAAAAAGTATCAGTTTTCGATTTTTAGAGTTAAATATGCTTTCTTAATACTAATTTAATAAGTTAAATGTAAAAAATAACTGAAAATAACCAAAGTTCAGAAGTTGGACAATGGTTGGACAATCTTTGCAGCAAACTTTTGATGCGACAGTGACAGTTTTAATTTTAACTCAAAAATGCATTGTTTTCTCTCAGGGTTATTAAATTTAATTTAAATTAATAAAAAGTTGATTTCCTCCTACCATTTTTGGACGCTATTTATTAAAATCATGTATTCTCATCCAGACCAACTATGCTATTTTACTGTATATGTCATATCTAAAGAGATTTTTTGATCTGCTTTTTAGGGAACTATCCCATCACCACCTATTACATCCGGAGCCCCCACACCACCATCCCAGTCTCCCATAAACAAGAAACCACCATCAATGATGGGAGGCATGGGCGGTGGTTCGCCTGCCCAGCAGCATCCTGGCATGATGCCATCTCCTATGGGCGGACACATCTCGATTCAGCAGCACATGCAGCAACAACAGCAACAGCATAGTAGTTATCTACAACAGGTTCCACAACAGCAGCATATACCGGTCTCCCCGCATCCTCAGCAGGTACCAATGTCACCACATAATCCGCATATGACACAACAATCGCAACAGAACCAACCGCAACAACACATGAGCCCCCCTCCTATGGTACCGAGTTCTCCCCCCGTCTCACAAGTAGGTATAGTTTTTATTTTATGCTTTTTTATGTGTGTGTACCTGAGACAATGTAAAGGACAGATGTTCATTCGGATTTAATAAGATACATACTAATAAGGTAAGTATTAAATTAGAATATTTATTTTATAAAATCCGATATAAACCTCACCTTTTAAGTCATGCCCATGTAGCCACATGGGCATCATAGCCTATAAATCTCTCTAATATCAAAACATTTTTCTATGATATACAGGGTGGTCCGAACTGTATTCCGGAAACTTCGGCAGCATATTCTGCACATAAAAATAAGTAAAAAAGTTCGTATAAATGTATTTCCTAAAATGCTTAGTTTCGGAGATACATGGTGTAGAAGTTTCAATTATTATTTCGATTTTTTCCAAATAGTTTCTGAAGTAACGTCAATATTTGGATGAAAATTGGTTTCTGGGAGTTTTTTGACATGAGAAATTTGATTTTGATGTCAATATGACTTCTATTTGTAGAGGGCACCACCTACATATTTTTTAACTGGTTTGAAGAGTAATAACTTTTCGTCCGTGTCTGTATAAAACTAGTGAGTAAAAAATATACATTTGCGACGTTTTTTACATAAAAAAGGTTTCTTGGTAAAAATCGATACGAATAGTGATTGTTGAGATATTTGGAATCGAAATTATCAATACCTGTCATCAATGACATAAATTAAACATGTTGAGTATACAGTTATTAGACTGAAATCATAAATTTTAAATGTTTTTGGGTCAAAAGTTCAACAGAAACTGTTTTGTCGTCATTTGTTCGAAGAAAAATTTATAATTAGTTAAAAAAAAGTTCCCAAATTTATAATTTTAGTCAAATAACTATCTACTCAATCACCAGGTTTATTTTGAGTCAATAATGACGTGTATTGCCTATTCCCATTGTAAATATCTTGAGAACCGTTGCTCGTAGCGATTTTTACCAAGACATATTTTTATACGTAAAAAATCACGGAAAGTAGTTTTATACAGGTACGGACGAAAAATTATTACCCTTCAAAACAGTTAAAACACATGTAGGTGGCGCCCCCTGCAAATAGGAGTCATATTGACATCAAAATCAAATTTCTCGTGCCAGAAACTCCCAGACACCAATTTTCATCCAAATATTGATGCTACTTCAGAAATTATTTGGAAAAAATCGAAATAAAAATAAAATTTCTACACCCTGTATCTCGGAAATTATGCATTTTAGGACATACATTTATATGAACTTTTTTATTTATTTTCATGTGCAGAATATGTTGTCGAAATTTCTGGAATACAGTTTGGACCACCCTGTATATAATTATGAGAATTTTTTCCTTCTATTAGTTGGAGAATAATATTTTATATTTGCATGCTGTTGAGTGGATGCAATAAATAAATGTTGATATTTAAACGTGCCAATATTGTATGTAGCCTTTTAATTCCTATAGTTGTGTTTTATTTTATTATAGGCTGGCCCCCCTTCCGGTCAGCAGTCCCAGCCTCAACAACAAACCATGACTTCCGCACCTATGAGATCCCAACAGAATTCATGCATACGCCATGGGTGCCCTAACCCAGCCATTACCAATCCCGAATGGGAAGATGAATATTGCAGCAATGAATGTGTTGTCAGCCACTGCCGGTAACTAATCATAATTACTTTATATATGTTTTTATAGTTTACTTACCCTAAATTCAATTCAATCTTAAACTAACTTTACTTAAACAATACAGAGTGTCCCAGAAATAAGTGCAAGTATTTTAACTGGTAATATAGTTCAACCCCAGAAACACGCCTATGAGGCTATGAATTTCGCGAAAAATTTTTTTGGATTTTTTTTTGTTTTTAAAAAACATAATTTCTCGATAATATGGCAAAATAGGTATTAGATTAAATTTACAAGAAAGAAAATCCAGAAAAGACCCAGTGGTTCCCAAAATTTTAGGAAAAAATCATTTTTTTTGGAAATTATTTGGACTTATTTGAAAAACGATAAAGAGAAAATCTGTTTCTTTTATCGAGATCTACCACTCCTTAAAATACTTGCACTTATTTCTGGGACACCCTGTGTAAACCTCACCTAATTTTAACTTAAACTCACTTTAAATTTTGGTGTTACAACAGCAAAATAAAACACTAATTCAGCACAAAACACCAAAACACTTGTTAGCATCATCAGCAGGTGATTAAAACTAAACTAATTTTTTTCAACATAGTTTTAATAATTTACGCGCGTCCAGTGCTTAAAAAGTAAAGTATTTTGGTGTTTTGTGGTGAATTAATGTTGTATCTTGCTGATAAAGTTGAATTCTAATGTCAATTAATTTGATTTATTTTTTTAAATGTCAATTGAATTGTTAGTGACCACTGAATAAAAAAAAATATAACCAAGCTAGGGAAGATTTCGACAGATAATACAATTTGCTTGTGTCATTTGATTAAAATAACAGACAACACTGTCTCTGTCATGTATCCTCTCCTTGGAAGTTTTTTCACTTATAGCAATTAAGATAAGCAGGTGTGTGTGTTTTTTTTTTAATCGATGGTTGTTGAATAATTCTATTTGCTGAATATCGATTTGTTGAATACAAAAATACTATGGATATGACAAACCTACAAATAATTATTCTACCTAAATTGACGACTTGATATGCAACATTCATACCTACATCAAATGTTAATCTCTATGTTGTCTTAGTGAATCCTTATGTTGTCTTAGTGAACCCTTTTAAAAATAATCCAACAAATAATTTTGTAGGTAAACTTGGTGCCGAATCAAAATGTTTATATAAAAAACGCACCTTAATTTTTAAAAAAGAAATCGCTCCTTTCTCCTTTCATTTACACCTTGTATATTATTATTGATTATATATTATTGATATTAAAAATACCTCCAAAATTACATTCTAGTATATGACTTTGTTTTACTGAAGTTAATGAAGTTAATCACAGGATTTTTATTTTATTTTATTTTATTCCTTTACAATTGCATATTTGTTATAGTAAGTCTTTTTTGTTACAGGGATGTTTTCTCAAATTGGGTGGCAGGAAACAAAAGCCAGCAGCAAAATTTTTCAACGGTAAAATAAAGGAAAGACTTAATTAGGGGACAGATGCAAACGCGATTGGTTAAAAATTATGATAGCAATACACACATACCCGATTTAAAAAACAGAATTCTAATTAGAGCTAGCGAGTTTGTATGAAAATTTTATTAAGAGAACAATGTGTCGATAATGTTAAAACATGGATAAGTGAGAGGCTAGGCTAAGTAAATTGTAAATAAATTGATAATCACATTATAGCTGGACGAGTGAGATTGTATTGGCAAGCAATAGGAGCAATATGATATCGTCACCTGTAGGTTACTCAAAGAGGAAAGATGCTATTGTAATCATAGTATTATATATTACATATAACTTTACCTGTACTATATAAGTAATTATTGCCGTTGCAAGTCAGACCAAAATTCCAGCGACTAGACTAATCAAGTTTGGTCCGCCTTGTGAAATCAAAATAAAAATCACTTGTTACGTGCTATGTAAACTGCATGCTATTCTCTTGGAAACTGTAGTTAGACGTGTCCAAAAGTACATATAATTCATAACACTACTTAGTTGCGTAGTTAGGTCTTTTATCGTAAATTCCCGTAATTATGACCTGTTTGGGCGAGCGACGCGAGTTACTGTTCGGATTGCGGTTAAGTTGGGATTTTGGTGTACCGTTACGAATTTATGTGACAACAAAACCTCCAAGTGCAATTTTATGTTCTTTGATTAAATTGTAACTTATATCATTTCGTTAATTTCACATCAGAAACTAATTTGAAGCATGTAAATCAAAAAATATATACCAGTATTGCACAGAAAATGAGATTGTTTTGTTATTTTTTTGACAGTCTTTTAAAGATCTTCCAGGATAAATAATGAAAGTTAAGATATTGCACATATTTATTATATTGAACAATATGATAATAATTTATTATAACTTAACATATTATTGTAATGGAAACAACAAAAAATGATAAAAATAAATCAAACAATTTGCAAAACAATCTCATTTAAAGTAGACTTCATAATCCAATTTTGTCCGACAAAAATAATACATTTGGAAAAATCAAGAAGGGTTTTAGAAATGTTAATATCTAAATATTGATAAGAACACTAATATCCGTGAATTGTATAAAGTATAAATAATCGCTGTAAATAAAGGTAGTTGTATTTTAATTTTGTAAGCATATGAAGCTGGACGCCAGCGAATATAAGATCTTTTGCAAAATATCTTTGTTTTATTTAAAAAATAACTTTTTGCGAGAGATAAGTCGGGCAAAATATACGAAAAACGTTTAAATATTTGAATTGTGAATTGTGCAAAAGATCGAATGAAATATTTTTAAATGTCTGTTTCCGTTTTGTTGTACATAGATTCCAAAAACTTAGCGAGTAGTACAATTATTTTTATATCATTGACCAATCAAAGTTACGCTTTCTTTGTCGATGTATATAAATTTTGTCGTTGTTAATTTTATTGTTATCGATGTGACGCGGAAGTTCTTACGCGATCATCCTGCTCTAGTATTAAATCCGCAGGGAAGGATGTACCTATATTATTTTTTATATAATTTGTTTGATAATTATAATCACAGTATACAGATTAGTCTCGTGACAGATTAACCTCGGAACAGTATTTCAGATGAAAATTGATCAAATTATTCAGTGATGGAGCAGGGATAATTTTTTTTTCTGTTTTTATATTAATTTTTTTTAGTACGTCCCTGACTTCTTTCTGAAATTACTGCTGAGTAGTGCTGGGCGATGTCTACTGTAATAATGTGATAAGTATACTGTGTTAAAACCTAATTTGATAGCAGCTTAAATAAAGACTGTATGATAATTTAAGAATACTTATCAAATTTTCAGTATTAAACTTGATGGTGTGATTGAGCCTCTCAAGTAATTGAAACTTTTTTAACTGATATAAAAATAGTGATTCAGCTAAGTAATGACGGCAATAAAACGGAATCTCTTCCATTATCTTTTTTGAAGAGGATCGATATAGCAGTTTCACGCTATCAAATAAGGTTTTATATTACTCCTTTCTCTTACAGAAGTTGTCGCAAATCCAGTCATTTAATTTGTCTAGATTTTACATGAATTAAGTGAAGAAAAGTTTGTTCGAATCAAAAACCAATCTTAAGTGGCTCTATAATTTAAAAAGTATCCTTAGGATAGTAGGATTTATTGACATCCTTTTATATTTTTTGTTGATTACCACCTAGACTGGTTTAACAAGTCTCCGAAAAGACTCCTATTGTGAATTTTTTATATTTTTTAGTATTTTGTTTTATTTTAAGATGTTTATAATTTAGTTAGGTATTTGTTGTATCTTAGTTTAATTGGTGCAAACTTCAAGGGGTTAGCCGAATTAAAATAGAAACGAAGACACTGATAACAGATATAATAATAAAGAATAAGCGATCAGTTTCCGACGTTTATAATACTTTTATTTTAATGCGGTTAATGCCAAAGACTTTGTAAATGTTGAAAAGAGATCACTGAAATGAACCGAAAAAGTATCCAGTAGTTGTATAATATTAAAGCCGATATGCGCTTTAAAAATTATTTAAGTACCTATAATTTACGTTTCACTATTACATTGTAAATAACATAATATTTTATCTTGACAGGCACACACTATACTATGTAATCAATAATTAATATTTAAAATAAATAGATTCTACTCCATCGTTTGTTTTATTTCATTTTTTACAGTCCGTTGTATAAAATATTTTTAAAAACCTACATGCTAGCTATAGTTAATTAATATTCGTACTTTTAATATTTACAAAGTACATAGTAAAAGTGACATTTTTATGGGTATATTTATTATAATTTTATTTGTTTTCCTTAATATAATTAATATTTTTTTGTACAGGGTGGGTCAAATTCGACGCTTTTAAATGGAAACACCCTTTTCTATAGGAGATAGACGAAAACTAATATCGGTGTGTGGAGCTCAATTTTCATCAAAAACATGATGGTGAAAACCGCACATCAATATCTGTTACCGTTTCGGAGTTACGGGGTGTTTTTCAAAAATGTGCATTTTTAACAAATCGCTGTAACTTTCTTGCTATGAAAAATTTTGTGTTTCTATGAAAACATTTCCAAAGCACCTTTTTACGTAGAATTTAATGGTTTAAGTATAATTTTTTTTTTAAATTAATAATTTAAGAGTTATCAACAGAAAAAATGATTTTTTATTTGGGACACCCTCTATATTTTCAATTAACTGAAAAGAATTTAAAATTACCTTTCCAAAAATATAGCACACTTGATATTTTGTTATAATCCCCTTCGAAATACAGAATTTTTAAAAGTTCGCCACTTTTAACTAGTAGGCTTTGGACCCCTTATTGATGATATGCCCTTAATAGAACTCGAAAACATACTTTTCCAGCAAAACGACGCAGTGCCTTTGAACGCTGATGTTATCAGCAAATTTTTGCAGCCAATTTCAAGAATATTTGGGTAGCTAACCAAGATCCCAGCCGTTGGCCGTCGAGGCCGCCTGACTTAGTGCCCATGGATCTAATCCTATGGATATATTTGCGGAAGAATAAAGGTTCATTATTCTTCCGTATAATCTAGACCAGAATTAAATATACTTAGCAGTTATAAGAGGGTATCTTTCACCACCACTGAGTTTGTGAATTCCACGAGAAATGTTCAAAAACTGCCCCGTCTGTCCATAACAGAAGACGGTCGATATGTCGAACGCCTGTAGCAAAATCTCATGTCTTGGTTTGCTATTTATTTTTATTGTTATTAGATATAGTTTAAATGTGTTGATGTTGGTTAAATATATTTTAAATTGTTATAAAATTCTGCATCTCTCATAGCAAATATTATTTTCGTTTTAATTAATGCTCACAGCTAGAAATTTTTTGCATTACAGCCGGTGCCGTTCAAAACCTACTTATTTAAAGCGGGCGAATTTTTATACACTCTATATCTCCAAGAGGAATCGAGCAAAATATCAAGTGTGTTATGTTTTTGGTAAGGTAATTTTAAATTCTTTTCAATAAATTAAAAATATACAGGGTGTCCCATATAAAAAATCAAATTTTCTGTTGATAATTCTTAAATTATTAATTTAAAAAAAAAATATACTTAAACCATTAAATTCTACGTAAAAAGATGCTTTGGAAATGTTTTCATAAAAATACAAAATTTTTCATAGCAAAAAAGTTACAGCGATTTGTTAAAAATGCATATTTTTGAAAAACACCCCGTAACTCCGAAACGGTAACAGATATCGATATGCGGTTTTCACCATCATGTTTTTGACAAAAATTGAGCTCCAGACACCGATATTAGTTTTTGTCTATCTCCTATAGAAAAGGGTGTTTCCATTTAAAAGCGTCGAATTTGACCCACCCTGTACAGAGTATACCAAAAATTTCGCAATAAATGATTTTTTTTTATTATTGAGCTGAATTTTACACTATTGCCATTAGCTTTGGTATTAAAATATGTGTAATAGTACCAAATTTCAAGACAAACGGTTTACCAATATTCTTAAAAATAAACTAAATAAGTTATTTTTATTTACCCTTTCGAGAGTTGTAACTTCTTTGGGAAGAATTTTTAGGCATATGTTCATAGGAACTTTTTGCATTACGTTTACCTGTAGAATCGCCCACCGAAGTTAGATACATTATTTTTTGACACCATAGCAAGTTTGATAAATAAATACGAATTTTAATTTTTGTTTTTCGTCAAATTTTAGAAAAATCATTTTTTTTTGCTTAATATACATACAACAAAGTAAATCAACATAAATAATCTCTAATATAGTATTTTTTCTTAACTGTTCCGTAGATTATTAAAAAAAATATTAGGTAATTGGGAAAACTGGAAATCGTCAGGGGCCACTTCTTTTCAATATATTTATTAACGACCTTGTTTCAATGCCCTACTGTCATAGACTTGCATATGCTGATGATCTTAAATTATTTAACCGTATAGATACTGTCAGAGATTGTGTGTCTCTCCAGGACAGCGTTGACTTGCTTAGTGAGTGGTGTTTGACCGACAGATTGAATCTTAACATCTCTAAATGTAATGTTGTTTCTTACTCTCGAACTAAAAGCCCAGTTAAATTCAATTACACTATAAACGAAGCAACATTGAACAGACTCTCGGTTATAAAGGATCTAGGAGTTATTTTCGACGAAAGATTCTCCTTTATTCCTCACATCGATCAAATGGTGGTTCACGCCTCTAGAACACTCGGCTTTGTATTACGTAACAGTAAGCATTTTTCCAATTTATCAACCATCAAAATACTGTATTTCTCTTATGTGAGGTCGAAGCTTGATTATGGCTCAATTATCTGGTCCCCTATTTATAATTGTCATGTGCAATCTGTTGAGTCGGTTCAACGGCGATTTCTAAAATACGCTATGTTTAGAGAAGACGGAATCTATCCTCATCGGGGTATAGATCATGCGCATATATTGGATAGATTTGGTGAATTGGCGTTAAGTACACGTCGTGACCTGCAGTCGATGTCTTTTCTGTACAAGCTTGCAAATTTTAAAATTGATTCTCCATCTCTGCTCGAGCAACTGCCATTTCTTGTACTTCGTTTAGGGGCCAGAAGACAACCTGCTTTTTTCCTTGCTTTTACGAGATCTAACATATTGCTGCAGAGTCCGATTTACAGAATGTGTCAGAATCTTAATCGAATTTCCACTGCAGTAGATGTATTTCATGACATTCTCCCCACTATTCTCAAAACATGCCGTGATATTACTGGCCATCCCGTTTAGTCTGTATTAGTCTTTGAATAAGAAGACTAAGGAAGGAGCATATCAAAAATCTTAGGTACACCGCGATGGGCCTCAAATATGGCCGACTTAAATTCCGGTTTATCAGTGTCGTTCTAATTTTATTTAAAAAATGTAAAACTATGATGTAGGGTAGACGTGGGGTAGACTCAATAATTTGTTGTTTTATGTTACGTTGTGAATAAATGTTGGTAGTTATTAAAATTGTTATAAAAATATATAATTCTAATAAAAATAAATAAGTTATAATAAGTATTTATTAACACAAACATCCGATACGCTACTGAAGCAGGTAAGTCAAATTAACGTATCTAAATTCTTTGACATCTAATCTTTAACAAGTAATAAATAAAAGCTAAAATGCAAGAAAAATATATAATTTAGTTAATTTAAGTGAATTTCATAAATGATCGGTTTACTACACGTATGTATATTATATAGTCACTTACTAGCGAAAAGTTGTTCCATTATTTCACTCAATTTTTGTCGAGATCTACCGCACGCTACACAACCAACTATTTTAGAATCTTTTTCGATAAATCGCGATAGTGTCACTGTTAATTTAAATTCTGCCACAATTTCCATCTAGATTTACTACATTTATACAACTATCAGTAGTAGAATAAATAATAAATAACTTAAAATAAGCTCCGTAAAGACTGACAAATCCAGAAAATTTCAAATCAAATTCAAATGTGTCAAATGAATCGTCAAACAGAACTGTCAAGGATCCCCACCCTAGAGTGCTTTTATGGCGCTTTTTCCGCCCACCATGCATGAATACATGGATAGCATTATGCTCCTTCCTTAGTCTTCTTATTCAAAGGTATTAGTTAATTAATTTTTATATTTTATTTTTGTATTTTAGTGTAGTATTTAATACCTGTTATAATTATGTATTTTTTATTCTTATTTGTACAATTTTAAGATACTATATTACTGTTTCGAATTTCCTCTAAGTGGGCTTCGGCCTGTCGGAAATAAACGACTATTTATTTATTTATTTATAAACTATAATATAATGAAAATATAGTGAAATTATTACTTTATAGAGCCAAAATAAAGAAAAATTCAATGTTGAAATCATTTTCCGTTTTTCTGAAAAACGGTAAGAGACCGCCAAGAAAAAAGTTCAGATTCGTAATCTACGACCTCAAAATAGTGTGTATACCAATTTTGGTGAAAATCGGACGATTTCCAGTTTTCCCAATAAATACCAAATATTATAAGATGTAAATCTTTAAAATACCAAACTTGTTGGAATTGCTTATACAAAAGAGAACTATCGTATTGTTCATTTAATTTTTCACCTAGAATAGAATATATCATTCAGAAAGCCTATAAAGTTACACTAAAAGTGTAATTTCAAATTTGTTGTATTATCTGTTATTCTATAGGCCATTGCAACAAAGTCAGTAAAAGGTAAATAGAATGACAAGAGTTTGAGAGAAAAAGACAGAGTAAGAAAAAGTATGAGACAGTAATTATTTTGATTAGACTTGCATCGTCTTCTACCATTATTCTAACGAAAAAAAATACTTTCTTTGATCCCGTATATTTATGAAAATTCGGATAATAAATGTAAAATCAAATGGTACATATATCAAAAGTATTTTTTCTCTATAATTTTCTCAATATTTTATCATCTAAACCCACTGTTTGTATATCTAGAGATGATTTTACAATTTTTTTAATTAATAATAAGCAAATCCCATTTATTGTGAAGTTTTTGGCACACCCTGTTTATTGCTTAAACTAAAATATTTTTACTCATGGGTAATTTGATAAATCCCCACTACCTACGCTGGCTGTGTTTGGACTAGGAGTTGAACTTCCCGAACTTAGAGTTTCTTCCTTTACTGAAGCTAAAGCAGGCACGGACATACTTTCTTCCTTTAGCTTGATTTTATTTGGGTCTTTATCCTTTTTATCTTTGTGCTTGTGCTCGTGCTTATGTTTGTGTTTGTGCTTATGTTTCTTCTTGTCTTTCTTTTTCTTCTTTATCTGAAACAAAACAATTCATATGTACATATTGTACATACTCTGTTTTACTACTAAGGTAAGATTTCGACAGAAGATGGCAGAAAAAAGGCAGATGACGTCCATACCGAACCATTTATTTAACTCGAAAAGTTTCTAATATATTTTCGAGGGGTGTCTCACTATTGGAATTACATGTACATTTTCTTGGCAGTTGCTGGCAGTCTTATGGCAGTCACCTATAATAATTACATGGCAGTCATAGGCAGTCTTCTTCATAGTCATTGGCAGTCGCTTAGCAGTGGAAGGATATTTTGGCAGTACGTGTACATTTTTTACCCGAGTGAAACAAACACCTCGTATATTTTACACTAACTATGGATGGGTTTATACTTTATACCATACTGAGAACTTCATTTGCGTGCTCTGTATTTTAATGCATGCGACAGAAATAAATATAAATGACCGTTTGACAGACAGAGAGACAAAATAAAAAGCGGCATACAGTGTTTCCGGATTTTACGTGTGTAGAAAAATGCGTGTAGAAAAAAATAAACTATTTTAAAAACTTTCACGTATACTACTGAAATGAAGATAATGTACCAAAGCTATACTCTGTTTTTTTTTCTCAGGTAAGATTTCGACAGACGATGACAGAAAAAAAGCAGATGACGTCCATACCAATCCATTTATTTAACTAAAAAAATTTCTAATATTTTTTAAGTTAACTATGGATGGGTTAATATATAAATCCGTCATGCGTCATCTCTCGTTGTTTTAACCAGTTTTATTGGTTTATTTCAAAAATGACAGATCATATTTCATATTATTGGTTTAACGGAACGATGAACGACAAACGGACGCCGATGCGTGTGAACTCGACTTAAAATTTTTGAGAGTTGTCAAACTTGCCAAATTATAGGTTATAATTTTGTGTCAAATTATTTCAAATAGATATGATAAATATTTTCATTTTGCATTTTGGACTGTGTTATTACGTGCGTTTCGTTTTTTTTTCAAATTAAGTGGAGGAAAACTAAAAGGGGAAATTAAGTGTTGACTCAGACCATAGTTTAGAGTTAATAGAAGTAAATTCGGTGCCCAGAGACAGTTATGGCCAGAGAGTTGTATTAGCCACAAATAAAGTTTGTATACTATCTTATATATGATAACAAAAACTGGAGTATCTGTAACATAGCAGCATACATGATAGGTAAATAATAATCATATTGAATAATTATATTTATAAAATGTAACAATAAATGCAAGAAGTTTGAGCTTGAAACACGGCTTGAAAGCAGGAAATATTTTTATATCTTTTTTTGGTATGTGGTGTTTTATAAAATACACCCTTGCTTATTTTGTATTAACACATACTGTAATTATTTATTGTTTTTAATAAAATAACAGATTTTTTCAATTTTACACAGTTTTTTTCACAATATTTTGAAGTAATCACTTGTCACTCAAATTTTAAATATTAATTTTCTGCTATGCGTTCCAATTGCACCAACTTATTTCTTTGTAAAGTAAAATAAACTACTTTGTAAATAAAATGACAGACACATCTATCACTGTCAAGGATCTTGTCGTTGGACAGGCTATAAATATAATCCATTACAAAGCTGTAGTAAAATGAGTAACTAATTGTGAAAAATAAAGTTCCAACGCTAGATGCAACATTTTTTGTAAATGCCTACTTGTGTGCTTTGAAATTTTGATGCAAAATCCGGCAATACCGCATAGAAGAAATGTATCAACCCAACTTTTATCTCATTTTAATGTATTTGGTTTTACATTAAGCTGTCTACATCACTGTCTTACACGTTAAAAGCCAGACCACGCAGTTTTGATGACCAGATCGCTATATAAATCCGTCATACGTCGTCATTATTGAGACGCAGAAAATCCAGGCGCAAGTAGAAGGGCTAATAAATTATTTAAAAAAATTAAGAAAAACTGAACAGAAACAGCTTTTCTTCAAGTTCAACTGATAACTGCTATTCAGAAACCTGAAGAGATAAAATTAACTTACCTTAGCACCAGATGCATCAGTCTTATCTTTTGTTTTAGTACTTCCAGTACTGCTTCCATCGCCATCTTTTTGAAACATTCCTGGTTCAAAACCAACAGGGCCACTCTGTCCCATTCCAGGCAACGAAACGGAATTATCTGAAAAGTACTCTTGTTTTGGCATTGCTGCTTCGCCCACTTGAACATCTATCATAGGCTCTTCCTGCAATAATATTAATTATACACTAAACCATATACTCAGGTCTGGCAAAGGTTAGTCTTGGGTCGAGATTTCCGTATGTAGGAAGAGTACAATACGTTTATAATATACTGAACAAAGAGAAAACAGTAAACACGTTGCCAAACGTATGAAATAAACCGAGAAACTGTGCACATTGCTAAGAGACGTGGAAAGGGATATAGCAGAATTGTCGCAGTTGACCAGTCGACCCAATCAGTACCTCTGTCAGTACTTAAAGTTGTAGGGAAAGGTGTACATCATGTGTTCATGATGCTTCACGATTTAATTACGTCTCGTGATACTTTATTTGTTTATTTATCAACGTGTCGTTGTAATTTTCCCTATACCTTGAAAATTTGTAAGTGCAAGCTAGCAACACTTGCATTTTTGGTAAGAATAAGTGGAATTGAGTTATGTTCGAGAGTGTTCGCGCTATTAGAACTCTGAATTCAAAAATCGATATCTCGAAATCTATTAGAAATAATTGATTGTAGTTTTTTCAAAAATTTGCTTAATATTTCTGCTGTATTTTTTTCGTAGATAGTATGTGAAAATGTTTTTCAATAAAAAAATTACACGATTGCTGAAAATTGCTATGCTCTAAAAGTAAATGGATGGGTTGTTTACAATTTTTCAATGGAATAAAACAACTTTATCGAATTTTTCTTATGTGAACATATTGTAAAAGATCCGATCTTCAATAAAAAAAAGTTTCAATATCTAAAGTGGTTCTTGAATTATGGCGTGTTATGTGTTAAAAAGTTGAGTTTTTGAATTATCGCGATTATTGACGTTTTCTCGTTATAAAAAATCACACCTTAACGATATCCTTATAATTCCATTTCAGATGCTCAGAAACATGTCTAATGCTTTTATCTAGTTATCTTTTCAAAAAAAGTATAAGCGGTTTGCGATCGTGATTTTACTTTACTTAATAGGGAAAGGCGTACCGGCAACGTCGCAACAGCACACCGTCGCATTTCTCTCACTCCGACTTAATAAGATACCTATGCGATTTACACATGTAAATACCGACCCAAAAGTAACACCTGCCAGCCCGGTAGATTATCTTTAATTTTAATAAAATACCTTTAATTGATGGTCTTCTATATCAATTAAGTCGACGTTCATAGGGGTTTCTAGATTATTATCAACAATAACATTTGAAACAACTGGTTCTTTAATTTCTGTTTTTATATTGGAATGTTGTTCCTTTTTTATATCTGGATTATCGGCACGTGCTAATTTTGGAATGGCGGTTTTTATTTTTTTAATGTCAGGTCTTGTGAGGTTCATAAGGCCCGATAATTCCGTAAGTGGTAAACATAAAGGACGTTTTGTACCATAAAGGGTGTAGTATAAGTCAACCAAGTCGCAACGATGGCGAGTATCGTGGGACAACATTCCACTAAAATATTACAAAGTTAATATTTTAAAAAAATACCATTTCTTTAAAGTTACTTAATATTTGTCCATATTTTCTCCACTAATAAAGGAGAGTCTAGCCTCGATTTGTAAGCTCTTTTAAAAGGAGGGCTTTTTAATAAAATTTGGCAAAGTTTATGTCTCAATCCTGAATCTGGGTCGTTTTCTAAAAGATCTAATACATACGATAAATCGTCGAATTTGCCGTCTGCTCTTACAAAATCAACTAGACATTCTAAAGCGGCCAGTCTAACATCTAAAATACAACAATAGCTATACAGATTTGGTCATCGTAGAAGCGTGGTCTGGATTTTAACCTCTAAGACAGTGATGGAGACAGCTTAATGGAAAATCAAATGTATCAAAAAGAGATAAAAATTGGGTCGACACAATTCTTCTATGCGGCATTGCCGGATTTTGCATCAAAATTTCAAACCGCACAAGTAGGCGTTTACGAAAATTGTTGCATCTAGGGTTGGGACTTTACTTTTCACTATTAGTTACTAATTTTACTACAGCTGTAATAGATTATATGTATTTAGTTTAGATATATTATCATCATCAGTAGTATACATGAAAGTTTTTCAAACAGCTTATATTTTTCTACATACCATTTTCCTACAAACGTAAAAAACCGGCGACACTGTATGCCGCTTTTGATTTTGTCTCTCTTTCTGTCCACTGGTCATTTATATTATTCTCTGTCATACGCATTAAAATCCAGACTACATAAATTGGATGACCAGCAGGGTATAGTCAAATGGGTATAAATAAAATTATGTAAATGTCTGTACAGGAAGTGTCATTAAATTCACAACAAATGGAAAAAAATTGAGTTACAGAGAAAAAATGTAAGTGGAATTACGTCAACCTGCCCAATAACAAAAACAATAATTCATTTTGGCACATATGTCATGCCACTGCTGTGATTGCGGTAAATTTCAAGTCATCTTTAAATGTGCTAAAAGTGGAGTTAGGTCAAAATATCGATAAAAGTCAAAGAGAAAAGTTCACCAGAATTTGATTTTATGGCTATTTACAAAGTTTCATAACTATAAAGAGACTTTAAAAAATATAAATTTTTAGATTTTTCTGCAATAGTAAATATGTGAATTGTCAGACTAACAACTTTATTCCAATGATCTATAGACAACAAAAATTTAAACTATCACATTCAGAATATGTATGACGAAAAAAAAACAATATTCTGTTTTTTCATCTTGTAGTTTTTCTTTTCTGCAGCCATTACAAAAAATTTGAGATTTACTGACATTTTCTTTTTTATAATTATTTACGAGACGGTAAAAAATAAAATACTATACAGGGTGGCGCACCTCATTCGCCTCGGTTGATTATACGAAAACGGAAAGATGTAGTAACAAAATATTTTATGGGTATATGAAGAGAGGTAATGTGCATAATTTAAATTTATTTTGAAATATACAGGGTGTGTCAGAACTAAGATCCATACCAAAATTATATTTTTTCTTATGGAACACCCTGTATTTTATTTGATTTTTGGATTCTTGGACATAAAATAAGGAATTTATTGTAATGGCTTAATATGTTTAAAAGCTTGAGTTTTTGAGATATTTAAAGATATTTAAATATGCATGCCATAATAAAAAAGTTTGTCAACACCCTGTATATTACTTTTCAGAGTTAATTCTTGTGCTGACTTTGAAGCCAGTGAAATAAACTTTACTAAAAAAATGTATTGCTTCCTTAAATGTATACAGGGGTATCAAAAATTGCTGGTCTATTTTAAATATTTATTTTACATAAAAACTTCGTTATTTTAAATACAACACTATGTATTTTTTGAATAAGTCGAAGCAGATTTAAATGCTCTTTCAAACTATATTAGGGTTTCCTATACCTATCTGGCTCAGATTTTAAATAAAAAGCGATTTTTCAATAAAATTGTAATCAAGAGGGCTGGTGTTGCCATGGCAATTTTCTAGTGACACTTAGTAGCTATTTTCAAAATCGACATTAGTTTGTGGACTTTATTTATATTTATTACGGCTTATTTTTATTTAATATACCTACAATAAGGTTAATAAGTAAGTATTCATCATTTTATCGAGAAAAATGAAGTAATATCTGCTGGCGGAAGGAATGGATATGTTACTACTTGTTTTATTTTATATTATATTTAAATGGGTTGTAAATCCATTGGGGCTGGTTCTGGTGTTTTATTTAGTTTAAGAAAATAAGAAGAGTAATATTTAGGTAAATTAAAAGTTAATTGAGATACTAACAAAAGAATTATTGCGGATGTTCGCCTACCTTATTTCCAAGTCAGCTCCTTGCACGTTCTTGCACTTTTTCGTGGATAAAAAGTCTATTTAATTTCTTCGGATATCGCGATACAGAAAATGACCAGTTGAGTCTGCGGCGGACTATATCGAAGTCACACTCGGAGTCGTAGTTTCCTGCCCGAGGCGCAATGGCGTAGCGGGCGAACATTTATTATGAACAAAAAAATTATGCGCGAAATTAAATTTATAAAATGAATAGTAATAAAAGACCGAACATATACTGCCCCCTATTTTTGTTAAATGAAAATTTAACAATAATAAAAAAAAATTAAAAATGAGGTAAATTATGAAAATTATATGTAGAGTATTAATGAAAACGGAATGAAAATTTATAGAAAAAAAATGAGAGAAAAAAAATATATACAAAATTAAATTATATTTAATTTAAGAAATGTTATTTATTTGGTAAAAGACATAATTTGACAAGTGGCCGTACATAGAGCCCTTGAGATGTCTGTACTTCAGCAACCCGTACTATATTATCCTTTCCAGGGAATACCTTTCTCACGCGACCTATTTTCCATGTTATGGGTGGAGCGTTTTCATTTTTAATTAGAACTAAACTGCCTGAACTAAGCGACTGGCCTGGCATGAGCCATTTTGATCGCTGTTGAAGCGTGTTTAAATATTCTCGGTGCCATCGCACCCAAAAATCTCGATGGAGACGTAAAAGTAACTGATATCTATCAAGCCTATTTAATTTAATATGAGATAAATCAGGATCAGGTTACAAGAAAGCGGTTCTAGCGTTAAAAAGTGACCTGGAGTGAGGACTGTGTAATCATTCGGATCAGAACTTTGCGGACAAAGCGGGCGTGAATTTAATAAAGATTCAATTTGTATTAATAAAGTATTCATTTCTTCATATGTTAAACATTGTGACCCAATTACACGGGAAAAATGTGTTTTAACAGATTTTATTCCAGCCTCGTATAAACCTCCAAAATGAGACGCGGATGGCGGGTTAAAACTCCATTTAATGTTTTCTTTACCAGCGGATTCTTGAAATATTTTTCTTAAATACTTATTAGCTCCGGAAAAGTTAGTACCATTATCTGAGATTATTTCACTGCATCTGCCTCTACGAGCTATGAATCTACGCAATGCACATAAAAAATTATCGGTAGATAAATCAGATGCCAGCTCAATATGAATGGCCTTGGTTGTAAAACATACGAAAATACATATATAACTTTTAACTAACTTAGCGTTGCGAAGTTTACTTGTCTTAATTAAAAACGGACCTCCAAAATCAATTCCTACAATAGAAAAAGGTTTAACTTGCGAAATTCTTGTAGCCGGTAGATTACCCATAAGAGGTTGAAGAGATGAGGGATTCGAGCGGAAACATGAAATACATTTAGAAAGAACATGCTTGATTGCGCGACGAGCGGATAATATCCAAAAATTTTGCGATAATAAATATTGAGTAGTTAAAAGCCCTGGATGCAAATTAGATTTATGTATATGCTCTATAATTAATTCAGTTAAACGAGAGTTGCGCGGTAGTATTAATGGATATTTCTTTTCGTAATTTAAAAGAGAATTTTTGAGTCTACCCCCAACTCTAAAAAATCCATGTTCGTCTACAAAAGCTCCTAATTTTCGAAAAGGTTTAGACATTAAAACTTTATTAGAATAATTTTCAATTTCTATATGAAAATGTGTATACTGCACATGCTTAATGAAAATTAACAAAGCATTATTTAAATCATGCGCGTTCAAATTTGAAGTATTTTTCGCTTCAGGGTTTTTTATATTATAAATAAACTTTTGAATATAAGCCATTATACGTTGTAATTTTGGAAGAGATGAATATTTCATTATTATTGTATCAAAAAAATCAATTTTATTACGCGATATCAGAGTGATTTTTCTTTCTTCCCGATTTACCTCGTCGTTTTGATTTAAATCAGGCGTAAGAGGAAAAAGATTTAGAGGCCATTGGCTTTGAGGTTTTTTAAGAAAATCGGGTCCTGTCCACCAGGTAGAACACTGGACAAAGTCAGAAGGAAAAATACCTCTGCTTGCAGGATCGGCGGCGTTATTACTCGAAGATACATGTAACCAATGTACATTGGGTAATTCTTCTTGTATTACGGCAATTCGATTAGCGACAAAGGGTTTAAAACGATGTGGCGAGGACTGAAGCCATTGTAATACAATAGTAGAATCGGTAAAACCGTAAATATTTTTGAATATAATTTTTGACGAATAAGTCTTAAGAACAAATGAAAATAAACGCGTAAGAAGTAACGCAGCGCAAAGTTCAACCCTAGGTATGGAAATGCGTTTTAGCGGAGCGACTTTTGATTTAGCACATAACAGCGATGTAGTTATATTAAATTGTGACACAAGACGCACGTAAATACAGGCGGCATAAGCGTCTTGAGAACCATCACAAAATCCGCATAATTCAATAAATTCGAAACTATTAGAAAAAAGATAACGAGGTATGCGAACTTTAAGCAAATCTGGTAACTGAGATTTATATAATTCCCAGCGTTTAATTATTTGCGGCGGAGGTACATCATCCCAATTTAATTTAAGCGACCAAAGGTTTTGAATTAATAGTTTTGAAAGTAGCGTAACAGGGGTTAAGAAACCAAGAGGGTCATATATGCGAGCGAGTTCTGATAGCATATTACGTTTAGTACAAGTTACATTAAATGACGTAACAGAATAAGAAAAACTATCTTCAGTTGGATTCCATTTAAGTCCTAAAATTTTTACAGTTAACGCAGAATCTAAATCAAAATTTATGCAATTCTTAAGTAAAAGATGTTCAGGAATAGTCTTTAAAAAATCATTATTATTGCTAGACCATTTTCTTAATTCAAATCCACCTTTTAACAATAAATTTGATAATTCATATTGAAGATTAGTAGCTTCTTGCACTGTGTTACACCCTGTACAAATATCATCCACAAAAATATTATCAGAAAGAAGAATTTTTGAAGCGTGAGGAAATAATTCCTTTTCGTCATTTGCTAATTGATTAATAGTACGTAACGCAAGAAAGGGTGATGAGTTAACTCCGAATGTTACAGTTTTAAGTACATATTCTTGTACGGGTTCCTCACTGGAAAAGCGCCAAAATATTTTTTGGAATTTATAAAATTTAGGATTTAGTTGGATCTGGCGATACATAGCTTTAATATCAGCAGTTATTGCGATAGCGTATAAGCGAAAATTTAATAAAATAGCGGAAATGTCCTTTTGTAATTTAGGTCCTTTCAGAAGACAATCATTAAGAGATATATGATTAGAATCCTTACAGGACGCGTCAAAAACTATGCGAATTGGACTTGTTACAGAGTGTGGATTAAAAACGCAATGGTGCGGTATAAAATATTCATTATTATCGATAGTCTGATCAGCTAACTCTAAATGTCCATTGTCAATATATTCTTGAATTATATTACTGTACTGAACCTTTAATTCGGGGTTTATTTTAAGTTTTTTCTCTAAAGAAAGAAATCTGCGAAGTGCGGGTAATCTTGAATTTTCGAAAAAAGGCTCGATATTATTTTTAAATGGAAGCGAAACAACATAGCGACCGGAATCTAAACGAAACGTCGTTTTTGTATAATAATCTTCACAATAAGTATCATCGTCCGAATAAAATTGTTTATTATTTATTTCTTCAAGAGCCCAAAACTTTGAAATTACATTTTCTACGTTTTCACAATTAAATTTAGTAAAAAAAGAGTTTGATAGAGAGTATGAGGACGAGCGTGAAGAAATATCTCCCATCAAAATATATCCAAATAATGTATTTATTGCATCTGGCACATTAGAATTTAGCGCGGGAATTTTACCATCAAGTAAAATTTTATTAAACACCGAAGCGTTCAGTATCATATCGACAGACTGACTAATATTAAATGAATGATCGGCAAGATTAATATTTTTTATATGTTCCCAATCTGATATATTAAAATTACATACCGGCATATTCGATGTACAGACTTGATCCAAAACAAGAGCTTCTATAATTAGCTGAGGGGACTCTGAATTTAAAGGTACAATTACGCCTTGTACAATACCACTATCACTTCGCGTTTTCATGGTACCGAGACCAAATATATCAATTATTTGTGGACGCACTGATAAACCTAATATATTTACACATTTACGAGAAATATAACAGGCTTCGCTGCCGGAATCTAATACAGCACGCATAATTTGGTAATTTCCAAAAGCATCTCTAAATCTTAAGCGAATTGTAGGCAAAAGATCGGAAAACGGCAGTGTATCGATATTTATTTCGGTTTGTTTGTTTATATCGCGTTTGACACCGAAAATACACACTGAAGGGCTAATTTCGTTTGGCGTACTAGATAAATCAGATGTAGAAGTAGGAACAGGGCCGGACTTAGAGTCGAGCGAATTTTGTGTAGCGGTAATTGGCGACGAATTCGAAAAATGAAATAAAGTGTGATGGCGGCGTTTGCAAGTACGGCATGATGATTCCGAATTACAGTTTGATGTCTTATGTATATTGCTTAGACAATTAACACAAAGTTTTCTATCTTTAGCCAAATTAAAGCGTTCGATTGGGGTTTTATTAAGTAATGTAGGACATGTATATATAGCGTGAGCGGTTGAATTACATATTGCGCAATTTTTCAAGTTATTTTTGTTAGCGGGAGAAGAAGTAAAAAATGCGTTGCTCTTATGAAAAGAAGTATTATGACGTTGCGAATTGCGTAGCGTAGAATTAATATTGCGTTGACATTTACTTTTAATATTTTGCGGGTTAGATATAGCGGAAACTGAAGAATTTAAATCTCCATTGTAAGTTATTGTTTCATATGCGGTACAACATTTTTCTACATAAGCTAGAATGTTATTAAAGTCTGGCATTTCAGAATTAGAACCAAATTGAGTTTCAAAAGAGGTAACTACTGAAGACGGTAAGCGTTTTAAAAACATGTTTGCGAGAATAAAGTTCCAAGAATCTACTGGATAGTTAAGATTTTTTAAAGCGGCGATATTTTCATTAAATGTATCTAAAAGAGTTCTTAATGCGGGGGAGTCTGATGAGTTAATACGAGTAGAATTTTCTATCTCATTCCAATGGTAAGTTGCTAGTAGTCTTTTACTTGAATAGCGAGATTTTAGAGCTTGATAAGCAGATTCAAAATTTGACGAAGTTAATGGAAATCTAGCAACCAGTTTCTTTGGATCACCCTCTAGGGAATTAATTAAATGAGAAAACTTTTCGATCGGCGATAAATGAGTATTATTATATATTATTGCATTAAATACTTCTAAAAAAGATGTAAACGATTTTAAGTCACCCGAAAAAACAGACAATTTCATTTCCGGAAGTTTCGGTCTTGGTAAATCATGCGTTATATCACGGCTCGTAGATGGACTAGCGCTCTGAGATTTTTCAAATATATTATAATAAATTGCCTTAGTAGAAAAATATTTACTTTCAAATTCTTTGCGTATTTCATCCTCAACTGCGAATTCCTCATCCGATTCAAGAAGGGAACAAATTATATTATGTTGCTTAGCAAATGCGTCACTAATTGTATCAATTGTGCGATATCTTTGAATAAATTCAGGTTGTATATTGGTATCCTTTTGAGCTTCAGAAGCAATTTGCCAAGTGTCACGAATACGATTTATTTCCGTATTTCGCAAGGTTTTGGCCTTTTTTAATTTATCTACTTCGGAACTTGAAGGCGGCATATTTATTTTAATAAGAAAATTTTTACTAAAAAAAGCGAATTAAAATATTTAAAAAACTAAATTATATTATAAATCAATATAATACTGACCTGCAAATTATAGGCAAGTACAGGTATGTGCGGAAAGGGATAAACAATGCGAAGAATGCGTATAGCGTGCAAAAAAATTAAAAGGATAAGGCGTAGTACGGCGTTGCTCAGGTACTTTAAATCAAGAACTGACCAAATTTTAAATGACCTTGTCCTTTAAAAATATATTTTATTAATAATTTTGCAAATTTATATGAAATTATAGAAATAATCTTAATTAAAAATCGAATGTGAAGGACCAATTAATGTTTTATTTTATATTATATTTAAATGGGTTGTAAATCCATTGGGGCTGGTTCTGGTGTTTTATTTAGTTTAAGAAAATAAGAAGAGTAATATTTAGGTAAATTAAAAGTTAATTGAGATACTAACAAAAGAATTATTGCGGATGTTCGCCTACCTTATTTCCAAGTCAGCTCCTTGCACGTTCTTGCACTTTTTCGTGGATAAAAAGTCTATTTAATTTCTTCGGATATCGCGATACAGAAAATGACCAGTTGAGTCTGCGGCGGACTATATCGAAGTCACACTCGGAGTCGTAGTTTCCTGCCCGAGGCGCAATGGCGTAGCGGGCGAACATTTCTTATGAACAAAAAAATTATGCGCGAAATTAAATTTATAAAATGAATAGTAATAAAATACCGAACACTACTGATTTTATTCTGTGAGGATAATTGCTTGTTGGCCTGAAGAGTTTATGCTCAAAGATATCCAAATAGGAATTTTCTTGACAAGCGTTCCTTTGAAAAACTACTTTTCCTATTTCGCAGAGCTGATAGTGTGGTATATGAAAAAAATTGCCTTAATTGGCTCTTCTATAGAAAATCCAATATATCTACAAGTCATCGTAATATAAATCAAAGAGCTACATCTTATAATAAATATATATATATGATAAAATAAGAAATAAATACTTACTTATTAAACTATTGTATGTAAATTAAATAAATGTACACCGTTAAATAAAATCCATAAACTAATGTCGATTTTGAAAATAGCTACTAACTGTCACTAGCAAATTGCCATGGCGACACCAGCCATCTTGATTGCCATTTTATTGAAAAATCGCTTTTTATTTAAAATCTGAGCCGTATAGGTATAGGAAACCCTAATATAGTTTAAAAGAGCATTTAAATCTGCTTCGACTTATTCAAAAAAATACATAGTATTGTATTTAAAATAACAAAGTTTTTATGTAAAATAAATATTTAAAATAGACCAGCAATTTTTGTATACATTTAAGAAAGCAATACATTTTTTTAGTAAAGTTTATTTCACTGGCTTCAAAGTCAGCACAAGAATTAACTCTGAAAAGTAATTTACAGGGTGTTGACAAACTTTTTTATTATAGCATGTATATTTAAATATCTTTAGATATCTCGAAAACCAAAGCATTTAAACATATTAAAGCCTTATAATAAATACCTTATTTTATGCCCAATAATCCAAAAATCAAATAAAATACAGGGTGTTCCATAAGAAAAAATATAACTTTGGTATGGATCTTAGTTCTGACACATACTGTACATTTCAAAATAATTTTAAATTATGCAGATTGCCTTCCTACCCATAAAATATTTTGTTTCTACATCTTTCCGTTTTCGTATAATCAACCCAGGCGAATGAGGTGCGCCACCCTGTATGTATTAGAAATTATTCTTGTTGAATTTACGTTATTTTATGTAAATTAAACGAAATAATAGTACCTACGTTTAAAAATATTCGAAAATTATGCTCTCTAACGAAGTCTGTACAATTTTTTTTTCAAAACCCCAATAATCAAGAAACATTTGTTGCGAACTCTCTGGCACACCCTCTGTATTATAAGTAGTTATAATTATTGAAGTTAAAATATACCTATGTAATGTCCAAACTGAGCATAGCTTTTAAACAATGTAGGCTTGCTGGGCAAATGTCCAAACTTCTGTAACTTCCTGATTGCCTTCAAACATTCAACTGTAATTGTATATTTATAACAAGGCAGTGCTTTCTCTAAATTCAAGAGTCGCGTTATTTCTTCTAATATTAATTTTGTTTCTGCACTCAGATTCTCTACTGTTATAGGCGTTCCTTGAGCCATTACCGATACCACAGGTGTCACTGTATTGCCCAAAGATTCTACTAAGGCTGCTCTGTAATAGTTATCTGAGAAACGGTTTTTGCTATTGTCATTATATTTAAATAGGTCTAATAAAAATCTTAATACTTCTGGAGGGCAAATTCCATGACTATTTCTAAAAAAATATACATATTTTTTGAGACACATTTAAGATTTATTTTTAATATAAAAAACGCCAAATAAAATTTCGCGCTCTCATCAAATATGTTGCACTGGGACTCACAGAATACCTTAACTATACAGAAGCTACAGCAGTAAGCGTCGCACAGTGCTTCGAACATATGGCTCTAGAGGACAAAAATCCAAAACTTCTCTTTTATTGTAAGCAATTTATTCAAACTAGGTTTATTTGACACAAATAATGAGTACTCTCATTGTACTAAATGATGATGTTCTTAGTCCCACGTTTATGAAAAAAAAAATCTTATAAATAATAATAATGTTGGAGCTGTGTTCCATCTAAGCAAATAATAAGTTTAGTATGAAAACGGTGTAAGTATTAAATAAATTCCTGTGATAAAAAAGAATTGAAATAACATTAGAACATGATTCCTACAATATAAGCCTAATATAAGATAAAAATGTTTTTCTTTAATGAAAAAGAAACATTAATGTTATATTTAATTAAAAAAAAAATTAAGATGCTATAAATTTACTTTAGGACAACAAAATGCATAGATCGTAACTACTCTGATTCAGGAGAATCACTGCTGACAGAATCTTCTAAATTTATAGTATCTAAATCACAGGTAGATGAAGTATCCTCACATATAAGATATTTCTGTACATCATTTTCTAATATGTTACTTTTTCGCGTTGTTACTGTTCATTTTGTCGGTATGAGGGGTTCGGATGTTAATAGTTACCTCTTTAATAGACCATATGCATATATTATTTTTTCCTTTTCTTGGGTATGAGATTTTATAATAAACTGAAAGATGGACACTTTTTTTATTCGACGTTTCGCTCCAACATAGTGGACTTTTTCAGGCACAAGTGGTGTCTCATTTGACTGGAAGGTTCATCAATATCTAATAAGAACATATTTTTTGAAATACTAATAATTTTGAGTTCTTGTCCTTATGATCAAGCCAAGTATTAGCCAGATCGGCATTGCTTATCAATCTTACTCCATCTGAAAAGTATTATAAAATAAAGTTCGTCGCAAGCAGACGCAGGTGAACTATACAAAAATTAAAAGTGTATGAATATGGCAACAAAAATATTCAATAAATACGATATGTTTTGATATGTTTTTTTTAAATACCTTTTGAAGTTTGAAAACTTAAAATTTTTATACCCATTTAAGAATCATCTTAAAAATAAATAAAAACTAAACAATCACGAACTTGTTTAGAAATAAATTTAAAGTACATACCTTGTTTAACAATATCCATAGTGGCTTTCAATTAATACGTACCCGTTTAACTCCATAATATACAGAACTACTATGAATGTTATTCTTTTCACTGATGAGATAATGATCGCAAAATTTATTTTTAGTGAAAATATTTGCTAAAAAACGCTGTTTATGAAAAATAATATACAGGATGGTTGAACATTGCTATAAGTATAAAATTATATATTTAGATATTAGTAAATTTTAACTTATTTTTTGATTTTTGTCCATGGGACGAAGCACTGTGCGTCGGCTTGTTTGAAGTGTGTTCCAAATTTTTTTGACTCTATACACGCTTATACACTGAAAAGGGCAAAGAAATCTATGGATTTTTTTAAATAAATTGAAAAATGTCTTTTTATACATAGATGTGATTTCTTCTGTATTGTTTTTTACTGAATTTAATAAGTACAAATTTAACAAAAAACAATTTAAAATTAAATTTTAAACATAATTACAAAGGACAAAAGGGAAAATATTTTTGATTTATTGTAAAATACAGGTTACAGACAAAAGAATAAAGAAAAAGAAATGGCATTTTCTCTACCCTCCCGACTTAAAGTTATTTAATATTATTTCTGCACAAAATATAATAACAATAATATCAAGCCAAATATAAGGACACTATTTATATACTGATTTAGTCACTGCAGAAGCGTGGTCTGGAATTTAAAGTGTAAAGACAGCGATGGAGACAGTTATAACGAGTTTATACGAGGCGTTTCGGAAAAAATAAAAGGATAGGAAAACAATATAACCAAATCAAACCAAACCAAACATACGAAACCAATGAATACAGAACAACAAACAAAAAAAAATAATACCAAATACAATAAATTTTACATTGGTGAAACATCTAAACCCTTAAATGTTCGAATTAAAGAACATAAAGATTATTTAAGAAAGGGAGATCTTCGCAAATCTAAGATTTGTCAGCATTCATGGGACACAGTGCACAGAATAAATTTTAATAACGCCAAAATTATAATGAAAGAAGCGATAGCCTCTAAAAGAAAAATAAAAGAGGCTTTTTTAATACAATCTAATAAAAATAAATGTATTGCTCATGCATCTGTAGATGTTAGTAATGTATGGCAATCGCTTCTTTGATTTTAAAGAACACACCATAAATAAACATAACATGCGTAAAAAATAAAAATAATCATACAGAAAGTTTGGGGCATTTTGGTTTTACCTTATTAAGTAATTGTTATCAGGTAGTAATTGTTAATTTTGAAGTTTAACTTGATATAATGTCATTTTAAATTTTAACAGAACGTCAACGGTTTTGTAGACGTATTTGTTTTAAAAAAGGCTATACTTAAACTGCCGTTAGACGGTAGCTTATTAAAATGCCGATAATAGGTATGACGTCGTTGATGTGACGCACTTGACGGCTTTATGAAATAATGAATTTTATAAGGACTAACCAACGCTATCCACCCCACCAAATAACCAACGCAACTAACCTCGACACTGATAAAAAAATTTAAAAAACAAATATAAATTAGTAAGAACCAACCAACTCCACCAAATAACCAACTAACCAATGAATTAACACCCTCCAAATAACCAGGCTAACCAACCCGCCAAATAACTAAACCAATCCAACCAAAAAGAGTGAAACCAATGCAATAAGATCACGCTATAAGCAAAGAAAAAATATAAAAAAGTCTTGGTCGGCGTGAGATTTGAACCCCGGACCATTCGCTCACGAAGCGATAGCCTCAGCCACGGAGCCACAGGTGCTCTTGCAAAATGCTTATGGCTAGGCATTAGTTTCCGCCGACATGAACGACGCCGCAATATCTATTAACGGCATTTTAGTAGGCCACCGTTTAACGGCTGTTTAAGTACATCGTTTAAAAAACTAAAGTGTTCTCGAATAGTTGAATTTAAATAAGTTTCTTTTCTTTATTCTTTGTATTTTTTTGCTCCCGACGACGGAAAGAGATAAACTCTCCGAAACGTTAAGCATTTTTTTGTTCATTAGGCAAATTTGTATATCTGTAAACCTAACTTCTGACAAGTAGTTTCCGTTTGGGATTAACGCAGAACTGTTTACAAAAAAATAATTATTTTATTTTGTAAATTTCCTTGCAGTGGCGAAATACCCATATAGGATTTTTTGGAGATATTATCTTTGTTTATTATGTTTTTTCACGTACGAACCGGCAACACTGTATGATGCCGCTTTTTATTTTGTCTCTCATATCTGGTTATATATACTTATCTCTACTGAGTATGCATTAAAAGACAGACCATGTAAATAAAGTGACGTATAGCCATTAACAAATACTACTATAGCCGGAAAAAAAGTATTTTACGCTTTTTATAATAAAATAACACGTCAGAAACTAGTTTTTTACATTTTCATCCCTGATATTAAACACCTAACTTAGTTAAAACTTAAATGATTATGTTCCCTTTTACATACTTCTGTATGGCTATGTAATTCTGTGACATGAGCGCAACTTTATTTGGTGTTTAAATATTTATATATATACCTTACTCCTGCCATAGCAAGTGGGATAGTTTTCTGTAAGAAATAGTTCTGAAAACTCTGAAAATTATTTTGTTTTATTATATGCGGCGCTGCGAACGACCCAAAAAACTTTCTAAATATTGCTAGCATCGCCGGGGGACCTGCCCAATTGGCAACCATAGCATTTGCTACCTGAAAAAGCAATATAAATTAAACCAAAAGTTACAAGTGAACTAATGAATACCTTTGTAAGGCAATGAGCGGCTTTACATCTCACTTTGTAATAGCACTGTTCATTTTCAATGGTATGAGTCAAAGCTGCTCTTGTTGGTGGTGTAGGATATCTAAAAATATTTACATAAAATGTTAAGGACACGTTTAAAATTTGATGTTAGGAAATGTCACCTTTCTAATGCAGTTATAGCTTCAATTTGAGCGGTGACGTCTCTTTCATGTCTTAGTTGATACTGCCACTGATAATCAGGTTGTTCTATTATCACTGATCTCAACAATGTCATTTCTGGATCCAACCTAATCCACAATACTGGAGAATCACTAAAATAATGCAATAACAAAAACTTGTAACATCAAAGAAAAAAAAAGTTTATCATGAAAAAATTGTTTTATCAAAATAAAAAGCTGTAAGATCACCATGGTCAGTGCAACCATATACTAAGGGCTGGCAAAGGTTAGTCTTGGGTCGAGATTTCTGTATGTAAGAAGAGTACAATGCGTTTATAATGTACTGAACAAAGAGAGAACCAGTAAACACATTGTCAAATATAAGAAATAAACCGAGAAACTGCGCACATTGCTAAGAGACGTGGAAGAGGATATAGCAGATTTGTCGCAGTCCACTGGTCGACCCAATCAGTACCTCTGTCAGAACTTAAAGTTCTAGGGAACGGTGTACAACATGCGTTGCGCTTTACGATTTAATTACGTCTCGTGATTCGTTATACTTTATTTGTTTATTTATTAACGAGTCATTGCAATTTTCCCTATAGCTTGAAATTTTTTAAGTGCATGTTAGAAACACTTGCATTTTTGGTAAAAATAAGTGGAATTGAGTTGGTGTTCGACAGTGGTTGCGCTATTAGAACTCTGAATTCAAAAATCGATATCTCGAAATCTATTAGAAATAATTTATTGTAGTTTTTTCAATAACTCTCTTAATATTTCTGCTATATTTTCTTTGCACACAGTAGGTATGTGAAAATCTTTATAAATAAAAAAGTTACACGATTGCTGAAAATTGCTATGCACTAAAAGTAAATAGATGGGTTCTTTAAAATTTTTGAATGGAAAAGGACAACCTTATCGAATTTTTCTTATTTAAACATATTGTAAAAGATCCGACCTTCAAAATAAAAAAAGTTTCAATATTTAAACTGGTTCTTAAGTTATGGCGCGTTATGTAAAAGTTGAGTTTTTAAATTATCGCGATTACTGACGATTTCTCGTTATAAAAAAATGGGACACCCTAATGATATCCTTATAATTCCATTTCAGATGCTTAGAGACATATCTATATAATGATTATTATCTAGTTATCTTTTCGAAAAAAAAAAAGTCTTTTAAAAATAAGCGGTTTGCGATCATAATTTTACTTTACTTGATAGGGAAAGGCGTACCGGCAACGTCGCAACAGCACACTTCCGACTTAATAAGATCTCTATGCGATTTACTTCCACACGTGTAAATACCGACCCAAAAGTAACAGTTGCCAGCATGGTATCATATACCATGTATATGATATATACCCTGATGGTCATCCAATTTATGTGGTCTGGAGTTTAATGAGTGTGATAGAGAATAACATAAATGACCTGTTGACAGACAGAGACAAAATCAAATGCGGCATACAGTGTTGCCGGGTTTTTACGTTTGTAGGAAAATGTGTGTAGAAAAATATAAGCTATTTTAAAAACTTTCATGTATACCTACTACTGCAATCATGATAATACGAGAATATCTAAACTAAATATAATTTATTACAGCTGTAGTAAAATGAGTAACTAATAGTGAAAAATAAAGTTCCAACCCTAGATCCAACGTGATTCGTAAACGCCTACTTGTGCGGTTTAAAATTTTTATGCAAAATCCGACAAAATAGAAGAAATGTGTGAACACCTGTTAAAATTACTGTTAATCACCTGTTAAAATCCAGACCGTTAAAATCCACAGTTTCGATGACCAAATCGGTATATGACATATAAAATGTGCAGATTTCCAATAAAATTATAAAATATTATATGACTTATTAACACATAAAGGCAATAAATAATCTTACTCCATTGCACTTAAGTCCATATCAACCTCTTCTCCTGTACAAAGAGGAATTTTCTTTTTCTTGTTTCTCCTGCTTTTTGAATGACAAGTAATGTCCGACTTAACGACGGTATTTTCTATTTGTAAATTATGTTTAAAAGTACCATCCAGCTCTTGCAGTGTTACCAGTAATGGTCCAACATATTTCCTGATACCTGTTTGGGAGGTGGCATCTTGGCGGATTTCTACCTCAATTGTGTTTCTGTCAAATAAATATTAACATTTCACATTAACAGGGTTGTTTACCACATACGAGACGGAGTATTGTGGCTAAACGATTAGATTTTTACAAATTGTAAGTTTTGGATTCGTTGAAGGACTATTAGAGCTACAATTTAAAAATAATTTTACAAGATTTTTTAAGATACAGAGTGTCCCAAATAAGTAAAAAATATTATAGCTGTACTTTTTTAAGTGGAACACCCTGTATATTATTCTATTTTTAGATTCTACGATTGAAATAAAGATAAATTTGATTAAGGTTTATCATACTTAAACCTTACCGTTTTTGAAATATTTTCAATTTTATGAAATTGCAGTAAAATGTCAAGTGTCAAAGTTTTTAATATTAAATATTTACTGAAGATTATTTATTGATCAGGTATTGTGTTGCAATAATAAAAATTATACTACCTTATACAGAGTGTCCAAAATTTTATATTAATTAATTACTAGATTTAAACAGCAATAACTTGTTTAATTTAAATGGAACACCCTGTATATTTTACGTGAATTAGATGCACAATTTAACTGTCTATCAAATTGTAGTATACGATTTTTACCTATCTCTTCAAGTTTTCGTAGAAAATGCATTTCTTTATAATTTAGACCTCATTTATCACTATACCCATGGAATATTGATATTTTTTATTTTTTTAAAGCAACATATGTACAAAATATACAGGTAGTAAAAAGAATAATATTGCAAGTCCATTTGTTTACAAAAAGAAAACTACTTAAATATTTGTAAAAGAGTATACCAATTAAATATACCACCATTATTTCCGCCCAAAAATTAGTTAATTACATACTTACCTAAGTGTTTTAATTAATAAATTATTCTACATAAATGTGGATCTGAATCAGAAATCAATAAAATAATAAGTTATGAAAATAAACGTCTCTGTTGTTATAAATCAGGTTTGGTCGAAAAAATGAAATAGAATTTATAAGGTGTTACTTTTTACCACACTGTCTAATACACATACAAAATTCAGTTTTTTAGTATTTTTTGTAGCAATTATTATTAATCAACGTAAACAGTCAATTAATGTAGTTTGAATTCTGAGATCATATTAATTGGTCCTCTTTAACAACAAATATTTAAACAGTTTTTTAATTTTTTAATGAAATAAGCGAACCATATCGACAATATTAATATCTGGTACTCTTTGAAAATTTGTTACATCTTTAAAAATAATCTAAAATGTCAATATTCCATGGGCATAGTGATAAAAGTCTAAATTATAAGAAAATGCATTTTCTACAAAACCTTGAAGAGATGGGTAAGAAATAACAATTTGATAGACAATTAAATTATGCATCTAATTCTCGTAAAATATACAGGGTGTTCCATTTAAATTAAACAAGTTATTGCCATTTAAAGCTAGTAATTTAATACAAATTTTTAGACACTCTGTATAAGATAGTATTTTGTTTATTATTGCAACATAATATCTAATCAATAAATAAACTTCAGTAAATATTTAGTACTTAAAAAACTTTAATACCCTTGAAGAAATGAAGCCTTAAAATTTGTACTGCAATTTCATAAAATTGAAAATATTCCAAAAACGGTAAGGTTTAAGTGTGAAAAACCTTAATAAAATTTACCTTTATTTCAATCGTAGAATCTAAAAATAGAATAATATATAGGGTGTTCCATTTAAAAAAAATACAACTATAACATTTTTTACTTATTTAGGACACTCTGTATTTTGTAAAAATATTTTTAAATTGTAGCTCTAATAGTCCTTCAATGAACTCATAACTTACAATTTGTAAAAATCTAATCTTTTAGCTACAATACTCCTTGTCGTCTATGGTGAACAACCCTGAATATGTAACATTAAAATTAACTCACCTTTTCCTATTAAATACAGATGTTAAATGAAATTTGGCATGGCCTCCTGTTCTCACCCACTGGTCTATAAAAACCGCCATGTCTTTACCTGTTACTGTAAATATTGCCTTTGTAAAAACATTTGTGCTTATAAGCATGTGTCCCCATAATCCACTACCAATTTTATTTGAGGCTGCATTAGTTGCGAGCGATAGTTGCTTGTTAAAAACCTACATAAAGTACAGATTAGTTAATTGTATATTACATAAACAATACATGTACCTGAAGTAATAATTCTAAACCTATTCTATGCTCCAACATTCTCATTACTAACATAGCTTTTTTGTATGATGCCTCAATATACATAGGAGACATGGTGTGTAAATTTCGAATTGAAAAATAAAATTTTTCCTCATGTTTATTTTGATTGGTCTGGGGCATATTAGAAGCGACCGGAAGTGGAGCAGGAGGCTGGCTAGGATCTAAAAATCATTATTATTCTGATGACACATTTTTATATTCACTGTATTTTTGAACCTAAAATAATTCCTCCGTATTCTTCTTCATATTTTACTACATCCTGAAGCATACTGTGAATCATTTCACGATACTCATTATTGCCAAAACTTTTTTTGCAGTATAATCCACAGAGATACTGACTTATGCCTTTATTTAACCATAAATCTGACCAATTTTGCATAGAAATGAAGCAACCAAAAAACTGCTCTGCAATGGCTTGAGCCATTGCCTTTCTTGTTATAAATACCTAAATTATTTTTAAATATAAGAGCAAATATTAGAAAATGGAATACTAGTCTATCTACCTGATCTATAATAACTGCTGAATGTAATAAATTGACACTTAAAATACTCATAGTAGCATAAGAATGATAATCTTCATACGCCTCATCAACAAAAACTTGCTTGTAACATGAGTATGGGTATCTATTTGACAATGTTTCTTCATAAAACTCAAAAGTCTCATGCATATACCTAAAATAAACATAATCATTTTCTAAAAATAACTTTATCATAATATGTTCTACATGGTTAAGATTGCAACTGTGTAAAAAACAAATATTTTACCTGGTAGTAACTTTTAATAATGGCATTAATCCTGGTAGGCAAAAGTGAGTTACTTCATGCATATATGGGTCTACAAAAATTTCAAATGGTCCCACAGCCAGCGAAATATTGGGAGCACATGTGGGTACATTTAATGAATAGTGATAAGTTTTTCTTCTCATGTCTGGAGTAAAAACTACTTCAATCAAATCGCCATTTGAAACTGCTGTCATTTCTTCATCTACAGTAAATTCAAGCTTCCATGTGCATGTTTCTGCAAAACTATCGACACAAGGAAACCACAAACGTGATGAATTCTGGTGACCATAGGTAAACATATGAACACCTTTCTACAAATAAACATCCACTATACTGACATTATACAAAGCTTTAGTACCTCTGCATATGTTCCCTCCTTTTGGTCCTTCTGATCTTTAGGTGGCACGACAAAATGAATACCTCCTTGAGGCTGTTCTAAAGAGAATTCTATTCCCACTCTTAATGCAGTTCCTTCAGCAACTAAGTGCGACGCTTCTGGGGGTATCGTAATAACTAATTCACCTGCATTATTATCTGGGTCAGTCTTCAAAGCTGCTGTTAAATGATTTTGAGAAAATGCATCTAAACTTCGTCTAAAATAATTTAATATTGTTAGAAACTTCAGATTCTAACATGCATTCACACTTACGTATCTGTGTCAGATTGACAAACATCCAGAAAGGGATCAAAGTATTGAAAATGAGCTTCATGATGCTCATTGAGGAATACTTTGTAAATTCTACACTGTTTTGCGTTTATTTTTAAAATCCTTAAACTGTCCCTTAATGGTACCACTGTTAATTCAACAAAACCCTAAAATTGCATGTTCTAATTGTTAAAGAATAGTTTTAATTATATATCATAATTCTTACAATTATACTTTTCCTATCAAAACTTATTCCTGTTAAACTTAGAATCTGGTGAGCTAAAATTTCATAATATAAAAATTTAAACATTGATGAAACATACTAATGAATATTATTACCTAATTTAAATGGCCTTATAGTGTCTCCTGTTTTTTGTTGTCTCATCTTGATAAAATTGCGATCCCTCGCTACTTATAAGTTCCTAGAAATCAACCGTATTTCCATATTCTTAGTGGTTGTATATAAATATATTGAAAATGTTTCAAACAATATCAACAAAAATAATTATCAACAACAAATTTGAGGTTAGTGTTACTTGTCAAGTTGTCAAATGGTTGTCAACTTCAAAAAATTGTCAGAGACATCTTTTGGTAAATTACTCTACCTGATGCCATAAGTTGTAATCTGTAAAAATTATTTTTCAGTTTGTCCAGGCTTCATCCGATAGGTGACGCATAAAACAAAAAGTGTAACAACAAAAAGTAACTTTTTGTTAAATGTGTGTTAAATGCATAGTATGGAGTCTAAAAGGAGGAGGCGAATCGAACGCAAAAATTATGGGCCCAGTTTTTGAGATCTAAATGAAGTTCGAAAATCGCCGTTAGGGGCGCTTGTGATGATTGGGATACTAGAAATACACAGCTTCTTATGGCAAGAATAACTATTTTGTTATAAATTATAGAGCCAAGTTAATTTGGATTATAAGATAAGAACACTTTGTGTGCTTTTAATTAGGTCGAACATATTATAAACGATAAATCAACTGAATTAAAAGCATACAAAGTGTTCTTATATGTCGGATATTAATTAAAAAATATATTAAAAGACTAGAAATAGTATATATTAAGTTGTTACAGTTATAATTTAATCTTTGGCGGTTTTCAGGAAATAGCAGGCAGTTTTACATAATTTTTCCTCCCTTTGAAGTGAATTGGAAACGGCTATATAATTTTGGTGTAGGCAAGATTCCCAGTTTGTTTCCGTTTGAGACCTGAAATAATAAAACAAATTAAATTAGATGTAATCATCTGCTGATCATGCTAATATAACACAACGCGCGTCCTTAATTCCTTACATGCACGGTAATAAAATTAAATAACTGCTCAGCAGGTGGCATTTATTAGCAGTACTAATTTAAAAAAATCTATAACTGTAAGTAGATATGTTTAATTTACTTACCATTGTATCCTTCGGAAACCAGGTGTACAACAATTAAACTCCATGATAAAAAATAATTAAGAGTCTATACAAAACACAAATTGTCCCACCATTTTTAAAAAACATTGTCTAAAACAGAATACTGGCAAAAACTCTGAAGGAATTTAATTTTACAATAATTCGACAAATCAAAACGTAATCAAAACGAAATCAAAACGAAATCAAACCGTAAAATCACAACAAAAGCGTCTCTGAGTGACAGTTAAAAATCAAATTTTATTATTGTCAGATATTGACATTTGCATTGTTAATATTGACAGTTTTAATATTTTGCCCCTCTGCATCTTGGAGGAAAAACTATTTTTAATGAACCGTCATTTCCATTTAAGTTTCTCAGCCATGGTTAAATGTATGGTTAAATGCAGTTAAATGTCTTTGTTTTTTTTTGTAAAAGAAGTAGTTGCCGCCAAAGGTTGCTTCATTTGAATAAAGAGATTAGTTGCCGCTTATAAAATACCCCAACTGATTAACAACAGAACTTTTAACTGAGGTATGTATATACTGAATTTAGATTTTTTTTTACTTTCTTGCATATTACTTTCCCCCTTATCTCTAACATGCCTCAACTCTAGGGTTCCCAACTTGAGCATCGGCGATTCCGGGACAATTATGTTTAAGCTTTTAACTAATTGAAACAAAACATTAAATATTAGAAATTAAAATATATTATGTGTGTAGTACACACTTTTTTAGTTTCCAGGTCCCGGCCAAGACAAAACTTTCGTCGGGACAAACTTTCTGATTCCTGGTTAATCCCGGCCAAACCGGGACGGTTGGGAACCCTACTCAACTCAGTTGATTTCGCCTGGGAAACCTGACAAAATTTGGAAAAGATTTGAATGTTGAAAAATTAAATCTCATACGATAAAAAAAATATAATCAAGGGGTTTTGGCAAAATAATAAGTTAAAATCAAAGATGTTAAAATACTCAATGTAACTAAAATTAGAACCTGATTAAAATTAATAGGAACTATTTATCTGCCAAAACTATGCAGGGTGAGTCTTAAATAAGTGCAAATATTTTTAGGGGTAGTATATTTCGACCCCAGAATTTTGTGGGCATATGTATATAGGTTGATTTAGAGCATTTTTTAAAAATATAGAGAGTTCTACAGGGTGTCCCCAAAAAAGTTACATATCATAGTTGTGTTTTTGTAATGGAACACCCTATACAGGGTTGTTCACCACATACGACGCGGCGTATTGTAGCTAAACTATTTAATTTTTACAAATTGTAAGTTTTGGGTTCGTTGAAGGACTATCAGAGCTACAATTTAAAAATATTTTTACAAGATACAGAGTGTACCAAATAAATAAAAAATATCAAAGTTGTATTTTTTTAAATGGAACACCCTATATATTATTACATTTTTAGTTTCTACGATTAAAATAAAGGTAAATTTGATTAAAGTTTACCGCATTTTAATCTTACCGTTTTTGAAATATTTAGGTTTTTGTCAAAATACAGTAATAATTATAATGCTTTATTTCTCTAGGCGTATTTAAGTTTTTAAAACCAAATATTGTATTGAAGTATTTCTATTTACTAAATTTTGTGTTGCAATCATAAAAATTATACTATCTTATACAGAGTGTCTAAAAATTTATTTTAAATAATAACTAGTTTTTAAACGGCAATAACTTCTTTAATTTAAATGGAACACCCTGTATATTTTATGAGAATCGGATGCACCATTTAATTGTCTATCAAATTATATTATATGATTTTTTACCTATGTCTTCAGGATTTCGTAGAAAATGCATTTTCTTATAATTTAGACCTCAATTATCAATATACCCATGGAATATTGACATTTTAGATTATTTTTAAAGATGTAACAAACTGTTAAAGGGTACAGATACCAATATTGTCGATATAGTTCGTTTATGTCATTATAAAATAAAAAAAAAATGTTTAAATATTTGTAGAAAGGACCAACTAATATGATTCCAGTATTCAAACTACATTAATGGACTGCTTGCATTGATTAATAATAATTGCTCCAAATACTAAAAACTGAATTTTGTATGTATATTAGACAGTGTGGTAAAAAGTAACACCTTAAAAATTTTATTTCATTTTTTGACGAATGCTTATTTATAACAACAGAGATGTTCATTTTCATAACTTATTATTATATTGATTTCGGATTCCAAATCCCCATTTATTTAGAATAATTTATTAACTAACACAATTAAATATGTAATTAATTAATATTTGGACGGAAATACTGGTGGTATAATTCTGGTGGTATTAATGGTACAGTCTTTTATAAAGATTAAAAAAAAATTGAAATAGTTTTATTTTTGTATACAAATAGGCTGGTAATATTATCATTTTTAGCACCTGTACATTTTATACATTTGTTGTTTTAAAAACAATCTAAAATGTCAATATTCCATGGGTATGTTGATAAATGAGGTCTTAATTATTAGAACACGTATTTTCTACGAAAACTTGAAGAGATAGGTAAAAAATGGTATAATACAATTTGATGAACAATTAAATTGTGCATCTAATTTTCCTAAAATATACAGGGTGTTCCATTTAAATTAAACAAGTTATTGCCGTTTAAAGCTAGAAATTATTTAAAATAAATTTTTAGACACTCTGTATGAAGTAGTATTACTTTTATTATTACAACACAATAACTAATCAATAATTAAACTTCAGTAAATATTTAGTATTAAAAACTTAGATACCCTTGGAGAAATGAAGCCTTGAAATTTTTACTGCAACAATAATGATTTTTAGATTCTAGCCAGCCTCCAGCTCCACTTCCGGTTGTTTCTAATATGCCCCAAACCAAACCAAAATAAACACGAGGAAAAATTTTATTTTTCAATTCGAAATTTACACACCATGTCTCCTATGTATATTGAGGCATCATACAAAAAAGCTATGTTAGTAATGAGAATGTTGGAGCATAGAATAGGTTTAGAATAATCTTCACAGTGGACTAGTTTATGCCAATATATAATAAGTAAAATCTATAAAAGAAATAAATCAATTAATTACTAAAATATTAATTATTAAATTAAAAATAAAACCCAAAAAGCTTTAAAAAATGGTATAATAAATATATATGTATTGTTTGTCACTTGTCACTTTTAAATTAAGATTCATCTCATAATAAATCCATCACACCCTGGCAGCGCTGTCGCCATCGCTTGTGACTCGAAAGTTGATCACGTGCATCGGAAATTATTTTGCGATTACCAGTATAATTTCATATATCGAAATTTTCTAATATCGATAGTTTTGCCCGCATAATTATTACAGGCAGCAAATTAAATCAGAGCCACGACCGCTCAGCCTGGCTCAGCTAAAAAGCCCCAGGCAAGAGACGAACGGTACAAGTTGCTGAGATTATAAGCACGTGCCGTACGTTCATATTTTCTCATGTTCTGCATTTTTATGTTTTAATTAATAAATAACAAGAATTATGGATATTGACATATAATTTCGTTCTTAGTTTCTTAGAAAGCTGAAAACTTAGATTTTTAGCTTAGTATAGCAAGGGTATAGCTGTTGTGGATTTTTAATTGTCACTTGATTCGAAAAACAAAATATTTTAAATGCTGATGTTACAGAAAAAACGGTAAATAAGTAATTTAATATAAAACTGAAATATATATTAAGTTTGCTTTTCCTTGTACATATATTTAATGTTATACTTTCCTTTTGTATTTTTGAATAAGAAATATGTAATAATGTTTATACTGTACCTATATATATTTTGTATTATTTCAGACCTTCAACTTTATGATTTTTTTTAGAAATTCGATTCAAGAGGTCAGAGTTGAGTAATTCCTTATTTAATGAGCAGCCGAAAAGATCAGTAAGTTCTCAGTACTCAGTACTTAACAGTATTTTTGATATTTTTGAAACAAGTACGTGATAAATTTCTAGTTTTTATTTGTTTTTTTTTCAATTTGTTTGACAAATTCGACTTTCTTGGTAGGGATTTGGTAGGGATATATACTCTGTTTTTTTTCTCAGGTAAGATTTCGACAGACGATGACAGAAGAAAAGCAGATGACGTCCCATACCAATCTATTTATTTTACTAAAAAAAGTTTTTAATAATTTTTAAGTTATCTACGGATGGGTTTAAATATAAATACGTCATACGTCGTGTCTTGTTGTTTTTAACCAGTTTTATTGGTTTATTTAAACAATGACAGATCGTATTTCAATTTTATTGGTTTGACGGAACGATGAACGACAAACGGACGCCGATGCGTATGAACTCGCCTTTAGATTTTTGTCATTTTTGACGCTTGTCAAAGTCTTGCCAAATTATAGGTTAGAATTTTGTGTCAACTTTTGTTAAATACCCTGCGTCATACCCTGCGTTTTGGAAGATGATGCATGTTGATTCGTATTATTACGTGTGTTTTGTGTCTTTTGAAGTCAAGTGGAGGAAAAATCGAGTGAAAATTAACTGTAGACCCAGAGCACAGTTTATGGTTTATACTCGCTGCCCAGGCAGAAAGTTTTATACACCAATGAAGTTGCCATCGTTTGTATACCATTTCGTCTTAGATAAGTGCATCTCGTATATGGTAGGAGGATCAAACTAAACACATACTAAAAACTGGAGTAGCTGTAAAATATCGACATCACACGATAGGTAAATAATGGATTTTAGTACTGCAGAAAAATAATGTCAAAAGGTACTGGTTTAAAAAAATTAAGATTAAAGTTAATTAATCAACCCTTAAGGTATAAAATTTGGTAGGTGTTATTATTAATAAAATAGTTTGTTTTATTTACCTATGTTGTTTTATTTATTCCTCTGGAATATTACAAATTTGTATTTGTACATAAGTTATATTGATAAATATAATCATAAATGCGGGTAGTTTCATAAAGCTTGAAAGTAAATAATAGTTCTTTTTTATATTTTTTTGGTATGTAGTGTCTTGTTCTTGTTTCTTTTGTATTAACACTTACCATTTTTATTAAATAAAATAACTCGATTACATTTTTTCAGTTTTCTACAGTTTTTTTCACAATATTTTGAAGTTACTTGTCAGTCAAATTTTAAATACATATATTAATTTCCTGCTATGCGTTCCAGTTGTACCAACTTATTTCTTTGTAAAATAAAATAAACTACTTTGAAATTAAAATGACAGACACATCTATCACTGTCAAGGATCTTCTCGTTGGACAGACTATATATATATTTACCGAGCATTTTTAATTTTTCTAAGTCAATGGATATAGAGATATGCATATTTTTATCAATATTGTTTATGTTTTTCGTCAATACAGTATTAGTAAAAGTAGGTATATTATACCTATCTGAAAGTCTACAATTAATACCAATTAATGTTTCTGTTGATTATAACCTATTACTGATGTATTATTGTTAACATAAAATTGCTAATGTTGCTAATGAAATGGTTTTTTATTGCAAACATTATTTTTTGCTATATTATTTTAGCAATAAGTCAGTTAATAAGTTATAACAAAATAGAAAGTTTAATGGATAATAAGTTTTGGAACATATAGGTACCTACAATATAATTTTACCAATATTGTATTGACGTAAAATTAACAATATTACTAATACATCTCAAATTAGTACTTTCCTGAACGTTACATTAGCAACGTTTCAATAATATTGTTTTTTTCAACCTTGCACTGCAATGTAATTTGGCGGAAGATTAAGCTACACTGCCACCTTGCATAAACCTCCCTACAATGAAAAAAGCAATGTTACACCTTGCTTTGCGAAGTTTTGGCGATGTTCCAGCAATAAATTTTGCTTGTTGGGTTTAGTACAACACGACCGAAAAAAAAACGGCGTCAAAGACAGCTAGGGAATGACAAACGATGATAACTTTGACGACGTCAAGCCCTAAATATCATTTACTTGGCCAGTACTCTTCTTTATTTTTTAATTTATTTTTATATTGAGCATAGATGATTTTTAAATAGTGTAGTTTAAAAAAAAAATTGGAAATAGATTTGTGTGCCTGGAATCTGGAAACGTTTCTATCATTTTTGAATCTTTCTATAAGTAGTGTTAATTTTTAACAAGTTTTATGTCAGTTTTTAATAAATGACATCTATAGAGATTGGCCTCGCCAAAATTATCATCGATTATCATTCCCCAGTGTAGCCTAAGAACTTTATGTTTATGGGTAACCACAAAAGTAATAAGTCGCTCAGAGCGAGGCACAAGGTTTAGCGCACAAGGCCCATGGGATGTAACATATCTCTCTTAGAGTGAATTTCCTTCACTAGCATCTGAACTTCTCTGAAAATTTAGGAATAGTCTCGGATGAACAGTCAAACAGTTCCATCAAAACATCTAAGCTACAGAAGGGATTTTCAGAGAAACGGAATACAAGCATGTTGACAACTGTAGGAAGTACTGCTGGTTTTTGAAAAGAAATAGTTATACCACAGATTATACCTCAGGGTATAACTGGCAAACAAGTACCAAATAAATGTAAAAGTGATAAAAATGGGTGATGTTTGGATTTATGATGGGAGCTATAGGAATCCAAACATTCAAATATGCAAACATCCAAATATATTTGGATACAGGATGTCATTTTTTTAAGAATCAGCAGGAATGGAGCCAGAGCTCGAGAATTTTTCTTTTTTTTGCAGACCAGTGATATCAATACTGTAAATTGTTTTTTTAGCAAAAGAAACAAACTAAAGCTTTAAACTTGTCGATAGTTACACCCAACCATAAACCTAGCACTCTTTTATGCGCTATAATTTTCTTGTCCGAAGGCGATCAGTTCGGCACGCTCAACAGGCGACTTTGACAGTGGTAGGGGATTCCTCCTTGACCGACGTTGCCATATCGCGTTAAATTCCCGAGTGTTTGCTCTCAAAAACTAAACAGCTAAGTATTCGTGAGCTTTCTACAAATTTTATACAAAACACATAGGTAGTTAATTTTCAAACTACTTGATTTTTGCTTGAACTAGATATAGTCTGATTAACGATAGAATGCTGAATATGACATTGGCAATTCTTACCTTTCATTTTAATTTTTAAGTAAATTGAATTTTTATTTTGAATATTTGGAAATTTTTTTCTCAACTTTCGGATGTCGTTTGTTACAGTTATATAAATTTGCCTAACAAAGAAAAAAATACTTAACGTTTCGGAAAGTTTATCTCTTTCCGTCGTCGGAAGCAAAAAAAAATTAACAAAAGAAAAAAACTATTTAAAATATTTAAATTCAACTATTCGAGAACATTCTAGTTTTTTAAAAACAGATACGTCTACAAGAAACCGTTGACGTTCTGTTAAAATGACATTATATCATGTTAAACTTCAAAATTAACAATTACTACCTGATAACAATTACTTAATAAGGTAAAACCGAAAAGCCCCAAACGTTCTGTATGATTATTTTTAAATTTTACGTATGTTATGTTTACTTATGTTATTTTTATTTATGTTATGTTCTTTAAAATCAAAGATGCGATTGCCATACATTACTAACATCTACAGATGCATGAGTAATACATTTGTTTTTATTAGATTGTATTAAAAAAGCCTCTTTTATTGTTCTTTTAGAGGCTATCGCTTCTTTCATTATAATTTTGGCGTTATTAAAATTTATTCTGTGTCCCTGTGTCCCATGAATGCTGACAAAACTTAGGTTTGTAAAAATCTCTTTCTTAAATAATCTTTATGTTCTTTAATTCTAACATTTAAGGGCCTAGATGTTTCACTAATGTAAAATTTATCGCATTCCCATGGTATTTGGTATATTACATTTTTTGTTTGTTCTGTATTCATTGGTTTAGTATGTATATTGTTTTCCTATCCTCCTTATTTTTTTTCCGAAACGCCACGTATGTATGGAAGTTGTATACATATATTGTGTATTGTTATCATTGTGTCTATGATTTGGGGTTTGTATTTTGTTTAATGTTTTGTCAATAAAATATGGTGGATAGTCGTTTTTTATTAATGTATTTTTTATGTGGTTTATATATATCTCTGTTTAGTGAAATGTCGTATGAACATATTATTTTTGCCCTATCATATAAACTTTTTATAACAAAAACAAAACTTTTTTTTTCAAAATTCTCTGTTTAAACTGTTCGATACAAAATGTTTACACACGTTTTATAATCTGGGCCGTTGCTAGACTTTTGGCTGTCCTGTACAAATATGCAACTAAATAGTCTGCCGATTAAAAACTGCCTGTCAGCACATAGCCTAAGGCTACGCAATGCAATCAAATATTGGACCGATCGGCTCCATAAGAATGTCTTGTTTTCACTCTTGCAACTAAATAGTCGGCCGACGAAAAATTACATATCAGTGCTAACTTAATTATCTTTAAAATACTCACAAGAAAAAGGCAGAAAAATGCATGCTTTATTTAGAAATGTGGAATAATTACTTTTATTCAAATATGCTATAATTGTTTTGAGAAGTGTACATTGGAATAATATTTAATAAAAAAGGGAACAGCTAAAACGAAATACAAGGAATCAACAAAAGTAAAACAGTAAACTGCTTTCTCTGGATCTGGATTAAACTAACTAAAAAATCCACAAAACGGCCCATTTACAGTAGTCTACATAGTACCAAGTATAGCCCTCTACAGTTTTGAAATATGACAAAGGCCAATAAAAATGGAACTTAGATGAAGACGAGGTGTTTCATAGGAAAGGATGGAAATTGTGGTCGGAGAGACGGCAATAGCTGTAGAAAACCGCTATACATACAAAGAAATAAGTCTGTAATAAATTTTGTAAAATGTCTAATAATTGTACAATAAACGTCAATTTGTTTGACATGTACGCTTAGTCTTGGCCTATTATACAATAAGCCTAGTCGTATTCAGAGTCAAGACTGTCAAGACCTATTTTGTTAGAACTGATTTTTCAATAAACCTACGATATGTTGAGCCTCTTTAAATTGTTCGACAGATGTGGCAACGTTGACGCCATGAGTTTTGCCCGCCAAACTGAATAAACACGAAACATGGCTCCGGTACAACCAGTCGCGTTCTACGTACCGCTTTGGAGCGAGTCGCGCTTTCTTTGGTCGTCGTACGGACGGTTACCAGTTTTATAACCTCTCCGTTTGTTTACATTGGCTGTTTGTCTCTTATTTAGCTGTTTCCTGGCCATTTTAGTGTAGTTTCGGATGTGACCGATGTGGAAATTCGATAATGAACAGATCTGAAGAGACGATATTTATTATTGACAATAATAAAATGAATTTTCGCCATCGAAAATTAATACAAACATTTACTTGCGTCGTGTTATTGTTGTACAGTGTTCTTGTAGTGTATCAAACTTTTTATAGGAGTGTCAACAGTGCCGATAGGGTGTGTACCATTTATTTTATCTAATGGTTTTGAGAAACTTTGGAAATTGAATTGTTTGTAAATACCTAGTTTTAAATTAGTTATGTATGTAATCTAAAGTTGTGTTAGTTTGTGGTTACTATGGTTACAGTATCTATGTTTTGCGTTAAGAAGGCATGAAATACCTACTATTCATTAGCAAAATAAAAACACTAAATCACCACAATACACCAAAACACTTTTACTTTTACACTGGACGCGCGTTTCGCTAACCATGTTAGCATCATCAGTAGATGATTATAAACTTTTGAGTTATAAACTTTTGAGTTTATAATCATCTACTGATGATGCTAACATGGTTAGCGAAACGCGCGTCCAGTGTAAAAGTAAAAGTGTTTTGGTGTATTGTGGTGATTTAGTGTTTTTATTTTGCTGTGTAACACCAAAGGTTCCAACCCTCAACTGTAATACTATTCATTAGATAAATCTTTAATTTATAATTCTTCTGTTAGTTTTGTTTTGCTTTTTTTTGGTGTCTTTTTTATTTTTTCTGTTTATCATTAACAAGCTTGCTTTTATATCTTTATTATTATTATAAAGTTCAAGCTTGTTTTTTTTTCTATGAATAATTTTTAAATTATTATGCAGACGAAAAATTGTAAAAGTGAGATTAGTAGAGATACCTTGGTACCTACCTTCTTACATACATAGTACGTAGGTGTAACTTACAACTAAAATGTAGATACCGGTAGAGAGCATATTTATGTTTTGAAGGTTGGAGAATAGGATACAATAGATTAATTTATTATTACATGTACTCAGGATAATTCTGAGTATATTTTGTGTATATAGTTTGTAAGGTTTGTTTGTCTAGTACCTTTTAATCGAAACTTTTTGGCATACAGAGAATTACTTTTGGATTAGGTATATTAAAAAAAATATAAATTATTATAGAGAATTGCTGATTAAATAAAATAATTTTAATTATATCTATATACATTACATTATCACTAAAATAATGCCCGCTACAACAAATATCTTGAATTTTATTAATTAATAAATTTAGGGCAATTGCCATACTACTCTGGGCTTAGTTAGAAAATATGCCGCAATCCTATTTTTATAAAATATGGTGATTTCTCGAGGATTTGATTGAGCTGAACGGTTCCTCTATTGCTACTATTGTCAAAAAAAAAAGGAAATCATTTCAATTAGATATTGTTTTGGATACTTGGGTATACCACATGTAATAGGATGAGTAGAACGAGTCCGTAACAAAGATACACGATGTTTTGTAATCCAGGAAAAGGCGAAATGTAGAAGATCCAAAATAACACAAAATAAACTATAGGTAAATTTTAGGAATGATTAATTTTATAAGAATTTATAAGAGTGATGTTTTGTGTTTATTGTCTATTGCGGCGTTGACGGATAAAATAGAAGAATGCACAAAACTTTAAAAGGTACTGTAATGAAATAGGCAGCAATAATCCAGTAGGTATGTAATAACACAGTATACAAGGAAGAATTCATTTTTGGCAAGGTTCATAAGCAGTCTTCGAAATTTGAATAGGAATATAAATCGATATTGCCAACTTAATGGATATCTTCACAAAGTGAAGCTAAATAGCCAGGGTTTTGCTTACTTGAGGATGTGAAGAAGAAGACGATACGGTTCAACATGTACTTATTGAGTGGTTATCCCTATCGTCAATCAGAGAGTCCATTCTGGGTGAAGTTCGGTCTATTGTGGCATGGAAAGATGAAATAATGTGGTTCAGTAACCAAGGAACATAGTGTTCAAGGAACACAGAGCTGTTTAGAACAACACTCAATAAGAACATCATAGCCAAAATGATCGCCAATATTTGAAACGAATTAGAAGAAACTTGAAATAGAAGAATTCAAAGTTCTCCTACGTTTAAGAGAAAATCCGAATTACTTTTAATAGCCAATCAATTATTTTTGCAAAACGGAATCAACATTATAAACTGACAATTCTACCGTATTTTTTTTCAAACTTGTAAAATTAGCTTAGGTATATACCTAATTGTCAGGGGCGTAAGTATACAGGAATTTTATTTTAGGGGAGGCCCAAATTAAAAGTAATATGGAATTTGGTTCTTAGGGCGCCATTTTTAACCCAAATTTACAATTTTTAGGGGGGGGGGGTAGCCTCACGGGCCCCCTCTGTATCCGCCGCTGCTAATCGTAGTGAGAATTTATAATATCAAATATCAAATGATCAAATAATTCCAATAACATAACATAAAATAACATAACAACTTAAAAAAAAATGATCACATCAATTGACTAAAAATTCTGTTTATCTATCTCAATTTGCAAGAATTATAGAGATAAGATAAACATTATTTAGATAACAGTGCAGCTCAATTCAATATAGCCATTAGATTAATCTTCAATTATTCTTAACCGAGTTCTTAACTAACTCGAAAATTGAAAATATCACAACAAAGAAAATTCAGGATTAATTCTACATACTCCTACTACATTCACTAAGTGGATATAATTATCTATAATATAAGTAGAAGGAAATAATTATCTAAGTTGAAATGCGACGACGGTAACATATGAAGCGGAATTGTATGGATACTAATCTTTAGATGTTTGAAATCAAACAAAACAATCAATAGTTTGTGTGGTAAAGTAATAGATATGTCATGTCATTAATGATAGATTTCTTCAGATATCTTGACTTAAAAGTAGATAATTTCCAGATGTATAATAAATAAAATGATGTATTGTCTATGTCTATACATAAAGGATGATAGCACAACTGTAAATTAGGTACTATTGAATAGTTACTTTCAACTATGCTTAACTAATTCTACGATTTAAAGAAATAAAAACGAAACGCTCGAAATATCGTTATCTATCTTTTTCGTAAAAAGACGATGGGTACATAATTCACTGTCAGCCGAGTGACAAATCTACAGGATGTTTCTCAAAGTGTTGGAATTATCTTGGCTGACATTAAAACATCTCGCGGTGTGTCTTGGTCGGCCGCCAGAATCAGAAGAATGTCTGCAGGCATTTGAATCTCGAAATTCCCCGATCGTAGGACATTTGTCTACATCTGAGGAGCGCGCATTCGCTAGCCGACTGTATTAATTACTTTTTTACCTAATAAAGGATCGGTATCTTTCCACCATAAACTTTTTTTGTCTAATGATAAATATAGGTAGGACCTAGGGCGGCGCTAAATTAATTAGATTTCGCTTTAAGGCGTAAAAGTTTCTATTCGAGTGTTGTTCTCGATGTAAACTGGTTTCTGTGGTTAACGTTTTGGTTACGAGTTGTAATGATAATTATCGCGCCAAAACTCTATATTAGTATATTTCCTTCCATAAAACAAATGTTTAGCTATTTATTATTTGTCGTTGTAAGAACAACTTTCAATTTAGGATAAGCACATAAAACATATTACGATGTATTGTTGGTGCATTCTGTATTATGAACATTAAAATATGTTTTAGAGATGTTTGGAATTTGCATGCTTCTCCCTTCTCATACTATCTACATCTACATCTACAAAGTTATATGTCCAATTTCGACATCGCATTTAAATTCCTTATTTACATACACACTTGTTATATGCTTCCAGAGCATATCTGGTTGCAGATACATTTTGTCATGGGTTTTGTATTTATCACATAATTTTTAATACAGAATCTTGATATTATAAATCGTGTAAGTAGCTTTTTATCTTCAATTTTTATTGTAATTTATTTCAATTATAATTTATACGAAAAACTGTGTGTTTGAAATTTTTTGTTGTTTTTGAGGAATCATTTCTTTATACGAGGCATGTTTTTTAAGTAAGTACCGTTTTGGAATTAAAAAAAAACGTGCAAAGATATCGCAATAATTTTATTTTTACATGAAAGCCTGTACCTTAATCTACTTTTCTACATAATTTCCGTGAATATTGAGGCACTTGTCATAACGTGGCACCAGTTTTTCAATACCCTCCTCATAAAATTCTGCCGCCTACTGGTTAACCACTGTATCACAACTGTTTTGACTTCGTTATCGTCTTGAAGACGCTGACCGCCCAGGTGTTTCTTCAAGTGCAGGAATAAATGGTAGTCCCTGGGCGCCAGATCAGGGCTGTATGGAGGATGATCTAGAGTTTCCCATTTAAAAGATTTGATGAGATCTTTGATGCGATTAGCCACATGTGGACGGGCATTGTCATGCAGCAAAACAATACCCTTACTCAACTTGCCACGTCTTTTGTTTTGGATTGCACGGCGCAGATTGTTCAATGTCTCACAATAAGACATTGATTGTCTCATTACGAGGCAGAAACTCCACTAGCAATACTCCCTTTCTGTCCCAAAAAACTGTGCACATGATTTTCCGGGCAGAAATTGTTTGCTTAAACTTCACTGTTTTGGGTGATGATGAATGTCGCCATTCCATGGACTGTTGTTTCGATTCTGGTGTGACGTAGGCCACCCATGTTTCGTCACCAGTAACAATTTTGTCTAAAAAATCTTCACCTTCATTGTGGTACTGCTCAAGGAAAGTCAATGCACTGCCTAAACGTTGGGTTTTGTGCAAATCCGTCAACATTTTCGGAACCCAACGTGAACACAATTTCCGGTAATTCAAGTTCTCGGTCACAATGCGATACAAAACACTACGAGAACGTTGAGGAAAGTAGTCGCACAATGACGAAATTGTAAAGCGTCTGTTTTCTTTCACCTTTTCGTACACTTTCTGCACCAAATCTTCATTAACGACCGAATATATTGGACACATAGTATATATTGGACACTGGTCAATTGGTGAACATTCCACCAAAATGGGTTTCCCTTTTAACGAGGTTTGCAGAAGCTGCAAGAACTCTGGAAAATAATGGCAAAACTACATTTATTATGACTTTGTCTGCTATGGGACCCGGAATTGTTTCCACGGATAATAACCACGGAATAACCACAAACTACAAACTAACACTTGACAATCCAATTGTACCACCCTGGAGATAGAGTCTCAGAGTGGTTGGTATCAAAACTGCAATCCTGCTAATTCGGGTTCGACAAGCGGTCGTATTCGCCACACATATACCAACTAAAACTAATATTTTTGACAATCTTTATCATTTGTTATTTACCTATTATGCACAATAATTACTAATAAAAATTAAGCAATTTTCTATAAATTTTGTCCAGTCTGCTTATGACGGTATTTTAATAAACTTTCTTTGTCTAGTCAATAATTGTCTTTGATGCCGCCAATCTATTACAGTAAACCCATAACTGTAACAGGAACATTTTTTTCAGAATCTTAGCAGGAAGCACAATCCCTAATTACGTCAGTAATTAACGTAATTACAGTACACAGTGCAGGAAAATAATAGCAAACGAACGACTATTTTTACTTATCTTATTCTATCTTTATTCTTTTCTTTTTCAGCGCGGCATTAAATTAATTAGGTGTTCGTTAAAAGCATGTTAAATTTTCTTGTTCTGATTGTTAAATTTTACTTTATTATTTAATATATATGTTGCTGTTATCAATTTATATATCTGAAAATTTGTATGTAATGGCTCTTTATATATGTATATTTATATTAATTTATTCTACTTTGATTTCCCTGTCCCGTGTATAGGTAACAAGCCCTAATTTGAATAATAATCATCTGATAAGATCTCACTGAAACTCTAAATAGATATAGTATAGTTATGTACTTTGCTTATGAAAATGTCGAAAAGTGCCATTATTTATTAAAATTTTAAAAAATATTACTTGAGCACACTTGAGTAAGTTTTTCAGTTTAAAATTTTTATGTACCCGGGTACTTTTTCTCAATATTTCGATTATTTTGTCAGTCCCTGAATATTAGAGATGCCACGAATAGTGATTTTTAGCGGAATACCAAATATTTGTATGACCAAATATTTGGTATTAGGCATGTTAATATTTATTTATTATTAGGCCGAATCGCCGAATATTAGTTGCGATAGGTGTTGTGTGTTCCCCTTTCTTGAGTTAAAACGAGTTTATAACTCATCATACAATCTCAGGGCTTTGGCAAAAGCCAGTATTTGAGACACTCAGTGGTATGATAAGGTGTTCTGGTGGGTTCAATTTTCCCCACAGAATCTGTATTCACCGTTGTCTGTTAGATTCAATCTAATGCGGTGTTCGTAGAGGAGACAATGTCCTGTTAAAAACCCCGTGACAATCCTAAGTTCGTTCTTACTTAAACCAAGGAAAATCTTTGATTTCTCTCGGTTGTAAGTCTTGAGAAATTTGTTCGACCATCTTAAATCGTTGAAGAATTCCTATTCCAGGTTACGAATGGAGTCTTCCAGGTTCTTGAGTTCTGCTTTAAGATGGTTTCCACTTGGGAAGCAGAGCGGTTCCGGTCCAGCTAGTGGAATTTTCGCTCCTATTCTAGCTAGATCGTTTGCTTTTTCACTTCTAGCCCCCCCTCTCTGGCATCCATAGTAGTAGGCCTTTACTTCTCTGTCTAATTTGATCCATCCCACTGTATTAACTTATATTTAGGTCTTAGAACTCGGTAGCCGTAGACTATCACATTTATAGAGAACCAATACTAATTACTTTAAATCAAACACGCTCAATATAGATAATTTGCACTTGTTTAACGATTACGATATCTCTTTTGCAGGTCGACAACAAAAACAATAAGGTGTTTGTAAAGAAGCACGTTTACGAGCGTACACTAGCCCAAGAACCGTCCTTGAATGACGCGTACGGTATCTCGATGTCCACCGACAGCCCATCGGCTACGGCCACGGTCAAACCACCCACTGTCACTCTCGACGACGTATTCATCAGCGTTAAAACCACCAGAAATTACCACAACAGCCGACTGCCGATTATACTGAAGACGTGGTTTCAGCTAGCGAAAAAACAGGTAAAAACCTCGTAATTACTCCTATTAAAAAGTCGATTAAGGATAATGAGAGAGCAAAGCATTTTTTTTCCAGATTGAAATATTTTAATTAATACAGTATGGTAACCTGGCGGTTCTTAATTAATATATTATACAGGGGATTCTGCTTTCAATTCGCTTGCCTTTTAAGGCGAGACGGGTTGTTATTTAAGATCTGTTATTTTAGAACTGTCACTTAGAAATAGCGGTTTGTAACAGTTATCACTTCCAAAAAATAACTGAAGAAAATAATACAACTCACAGTAGTGTCTCGCGCCATGAAATGTTATCATGATCGTAAAAGTTTCTTTAAAAAAACTGGGGGAAACAATTCATTAGCGAAATACCAAGCCTTTTTAAAGATATAGGTGTCTTATTTGAATCTTTGATTGGAAATGTGCTCTCTTAAAGTATATTTCTAGTAGCTTTTTTCCTCTCCGTTTCATACAAAGTTTCACTAAAATACAATCCCTCTTTTGCCAGAAATTGCTTATCAGTGTTCAGTGATAAGCAACGCCTATTGTATTTTTAATTTATGTTTTTAGAGGTCGAATTTATTTTACTAGTATCTTTTCACTTTTGTAACTGATTTGTTATGATAAAATTTTTGTTTTCAAAATTTGTTGTATTTGCAAATGATATATTCTGCTCCAATTAAAATATAATTACTCAAATATCGCCCAGGAAAAATTACCAAATAATAAATTGTTTTTGAAAAATATAGATTTTTAGGTAAATTAATATTTTCACGATTTTATTTAAGCTTTGCTTGATGAAGTCAGTGACCGTAAATTTAATTACTTTTAGAGCTTTACCTGAAATGGTTATACATAAAATGTTTTTGAAATTTTTATGGATAAAGGAAATATAAATATTATTTTTCACTAGTTCTATATTACAGTTTTCATCTCACTGATATATGTGTTCGCTTCATGTCACTAACTGGGTTTTTAGATGCTCTTCCTCATTATTTTTTTTGATTAGACACAGAGCCACTAAAAAAATAGTTTACTATATTATTATTGAAATGTAATTATCAATTGAACTATAATATGTAATATCAAGTTTGGTAACATATAGGTACCATTAATGAATACACTTGAGTTATACCAATTATTGTTCCACACCAATTATTAACAGACGCAAATAAATAGAAAGATTGTTTTTCTCAATTCAAATTTCAATAGTCAAAAAGAGCAGGTATGTCACTGTATGAAATGTAATTTTTTTTATATTTTTCACGAGGGGTAAACCGCTGATAAATTTCTGTACACTAATTAATACCACGAATAATGCCAAAAATGCCAACTAATACCACGATTCATACTACTAATACCAAATAATGCTAACATCTTGTACAGGGTGGGTCAAATTGAACGCTTTTAAAGGGAAACACCCATTTCTATAGGATATAATAATATAATATAAACTAATGTCGGTATAGGGTCCCCTATATCTTTTTAATTCATTGAAATGAATTTAAATTTGCCTTTCTAATTATATAGCATACTAATATTTAATTATTGATATTTTGCTCGATTCCTCTTTGAAGATATAGAGTTTTTAATAATTCGCCCACTTTGAATAAGTAGGCTTTGAACGGCGCCGGCTGTAATTCAAAAAAAAATTCTAGCTGTGAGCAGCAACAAAAAATAATGTTTAAACTATATTTAACAACATCAACACATTTAAACTAAATCGAATAATAATAAAAATAAATAGCAAACCAAGACATGAGATTTCTCTACAGGTGTTCGACATGTCGATCGTCTTCTGTTTATGGACAGACGGGACCATTTTTGAACATTTCTCGCGAGATTCATTAACTCAATGCGGGTGAAAGATACCCTCGCATAACCGCTAAGTCCTTCTAATTCTTGTCTAGATACTGGCAATTTAAAAATAAGAATCTTTATTCTTCCACAAAGATAAAAATCCAAAGTCCGGCGACCTCGGCTGACTCGACGGCCAACGGCTGAGATCTTGGTTAGTTATTCAATTATTCTCGAAATTGGCTGCAAAAATTTGCTGATAACTGGCGTTCTGAAGCGGTGCCTTTTTGGTCTTGCTGGAAAGATATATCAATAAGGGGTCCAAAGCCTACTAGTTAAAAGTGGCTAACTTTCAAAAAAACTGTATTTCGAAGGGGACTCTAACAAAATATAAAGTGTGCTATATTTTTGGAAATGTAATTTTTAGTTATTTTCAGTTAATTAAAAATATACAGGGTGTCCCTAATAAAAAATCAATTTTTCTGTTGATAACCCTTAAATTATTAATTTTTAAAAAAATATACTTAAAACATTAAATTCTACGTAAAAAGGTGCTTTGGAAATGTTTTCATAAAAATACAAAAATTTCCATAGCACAAAAGTTACAGCGATTTGTTAAAAATGCACATTTTTTAAAAACACCCCGTAACTCCGAAACGGTAACAGATATCGATGTGCGGTTTTCATCATCACGTTTTTGATAAAAATTGAGCTCCAGACACCGATATTAGTTCTATCTCCTGTAGAAAAGGGTGTTGTCCCTTTAAAAGTATCCAATTTGACCCACCCTGTACACCAAAATATACCAGCGGTTAACCCCTCTATTTTTCATAAATATGAGTTTTTTTATTAATTGTGAGTTTTTGATAAAAATTTTACTAAATCTGATAGTAATGACAAATCGGACAAATGTCTCTTAGAAAATGCCATTTTAAACGATTTTTACTGTAAATAATGCACATATATCGGAAATATAAATATAGAGGTAAAAAAATATGTAGTTGTCAGCATTTCTATCAATGGTAAATTTGTAAAACGATATTACAACAGGTTTGTTTACATCGATTAAATATTTGCACAATATTTACGATAAATAAATCCTAGCGGTGAATATCGTAATTTTATTACAATATGATTGCTGTATTATTGAGCCACTTTCCACATTCGTAAAAATCCACTCTAGAATTTTTTTTTCTTATTGTTTTCTTTGTATTTTTTCAACTAAACCTCTATTATTTTTCGCTGTCAGTTGTTTCTTCATAATTTTTGCGTTGGTAAAATCTATTCTGTGCTCTGTGTCCCATGGATGCTGAAAAATCTTAGCGAAAATCGCTCTTTCAATATTCTTTATGTTATGTTTTTTTATAAACTAACTTGCTTGGATATTAGCCGCATATGCAATTTTAAACAAAAAAAACTATATAACTTTACTTTTTTCGTAAAATATGTAAATTTACCATGTTTGTATAACATATGATCGAAACAAATAATCGCTGTCATTTCATATGTAAAATGTTATGGGAAACGGCAATCAATCGTCATTTCCAAGCCAATTTAATGCTGTTTTTTATCGTATCAACATTTAAATCTATTTTTTTTGTAGAACATTTAACGTTTTTTCAAACCCTTTTTATATTATACTTTTCACTCTTAGCTATCTGTTGCTTCTGCTGTTGTACTTAAAGCTCCAAGGAAAACATCCTTCAACAAGAATATCAATGGTTACATTATGTTCTTAGGAAAGATCGGGATTTTCCTTGCAAATCGAGATATTGTTAAGCAAAATAGAGTCAGAAATAACTCATTGTTGGCTGGTTTAGAATCGAAAGAATTTTTTCCAGGGATATAGAATTCTGCGGTAAAAAGCTGCTTAGATAGATCTGAAATCCTTTTGCGAAGGGGAACGTTTACAAAAAGTCAAAAATATAATAAAAAATTTCGGAAGCGATCGTGTGGGAATTGGATGTTGGAACGGTGAAAGAATAAAGGAGGAAAAATGTGATATCGGGAAAAAGTTGTATTATTGGAAATAAATGAAATTACTTTTTTTCCAAAAAAATTGTGATACGATTATTTGCGATCCGGCAATAGGACGAATTTTATCTCTCTTTGTTATATGTCATTAGTCGAATTGTATGGATATTAAATTATATCTACCGGGTGTTTCTCAAAAGTGGCTCACCCTTATAACTTTTATTTTTTCAGATAAAAAAACGGCAAATAGTTCATTAGTATATGACATAATGACCACAACATATGATTTTTAAATGACATCCTCGATATTTTTTTACTTTATTCGATAGAAAGTGTTACTCTGAATAGAATGACCATATTATATGTCAACCTTTGACATTCTCGCTTTAAAAAAATCGTATTTTAAATTTCAATCTAGAGTACCACCCATGGCTGTGTTAAAACACTAATTTTTAATCAAGGGGCCCTGGAAAAATAGATCTGATAGTTAAACGTTTGTCGTGTCTTGTTCTGGTCTGTTAAAAAATGCCCAAATCGAATTTTTAATGATAACTCATTTTTTTTTAATAGAACGAGGGAGGCTCATTAGCAAATTTGGAAAAAATCATTTTTTTCCAAATTTCCCCACTAGTAGATATAAAAAGCATTTTTGGTAAACTCTGTCTCAAATAGTTTGTGAAAAATAAAATTAATTTTCTTAAAAAGGTCCGATTAAATTTATATCTCCGAAACTAAAGTTCCAAGAAAAGTCGTAATATATCTACAAATTCATTTACCCACTAGTAGATATAAAAAGCATTTTTGGTAAACTCTGTCTCAAATAGTTTCTGAAAAATAAAATTAATTTTCTTAAAATGGTCCGATTAAATTTATATCTCCGAAACTAAAGTTCCAAAAAAGTCGTAATATATCTACAAATTCATTTACCCACTAGTAGATATAAAAAACATTTCTGGTAAACTCTGTCTCAAATAGTTTCTGAAAAATGAAATTAATTTTCTTAAAAAGGTCCGATTAAATTTATATCTCCGATACTAAAGTTCTAAGAAAAGTCGTAATATATCTACAAATTCATTTATCCACTAGTAGATATAAAAAGCATTTTTGGTAAACTGTGTCTCAAATAGTTTCTGAAAAATAAAATTAATTTTCTTAAAAAGGTCCGATTAAATTTATATCTCCGAAACTAAAGTTCCAAGAAAAGTCGTAATATATCTACAAATTCATTTACCCACT